AGAAGATTTTTAAAGTTTTTATATAACACATATAAGGAAAAGGAATGACCCCCGGGGCGGGGCCTATTTTGACCCCAGGGCTTTTATTTGAACAAACTTGGTAGACACTCACTAAAAGATGTTTCATGCTTAGAATCTAAACTCTAGCTATTTGGTTTTTTTCAAAGAAGATATTTTAAGTTTTTGCTATACACATATAAGGAAAATCAATGACCCCACGGCTCTTATTTGAACAAACTTGGTAAACATCCATTAGAACATGTTTCATGCTAAATATCTTAGCTAAAGCTCTTTGGGTTCTTTAAAAGAAGATTTTTTAAGTTTTTACTATATGCATATAGGGAAAATCAATGACCCCCTGGGCCAGGGCTAATTTTGACCCCAGGGCTTTTATTTGAACAAACTTGGTAGACACCCATTAGAAGATGTTTCATGCTAAATATCTTAGCTCTAGCTCTTTGGGTTCTTTAAAAGAAATTTTTTTAAGTTTTTACTATATGCATATAGGGAAAATCAATGACCCCCTGGGGCGGGGCCAATTTTGACCCCATGGCTTCTATTTGAACAAACTTGGTAGACATCCATTAGAACATGTTTCATGCCAAATATCTAAGCTATAGCTCTTTGGGTTTTTTAGAAGAAGATTTTTTAAGTTTTTACTATATGCATAAAGGGAAAATCAATGACCCCCTGGGGCGGGGCCAATTTTGACCCCAGGGCTTTTATTTGAACAATCTTGGTAGACACTTATTAAAAGATGTTTCATGCTTAATATCTTAGCTCTAGCTCTTTGGGTTCTTTAAAAGAAGATTTTTTTAAGTTTTTACTATATGCATATAGGGAAAATCAATGACCCCCTGGGGCTGGGCCAATTTTGACCCCAGGGCTTTTATTTGAACAATCTTGGTAGACACTCACTAGAAGATGTTTCATGCCAAATATCTAAGCTCTAGCTCTTTGGCTTTTTTAGAAGAAGATGTCTAAAGTTTTTTCTTTTGGTTGCCATGGCAACCAGAGTTCTGCATGGAATGGAATTCTTTGAACAACTTTGTTAAGGCTTCACACAAGGAACATCCCTGTGAAGTTTCATTATGATCTGCCTTATGGTTTCAGAGGAGATGTTGTTTGAAAAGTGTGAACGGACAATGTACGACGGACGAAGAGTGATCCTAATAGCTCACCCTGAGCATATGCTCAGGTGAGCTAAAAACAATAACAATTTGACAAAACAGGCCCTATATAACTCACCTGAGAAACTCTGGCTGTACAAGACATATAATTCTCAGGTGAGTTAAAAAGTATGTCACTGGGTAAAACAAGATTGCATTTGAGAAAAATGCTATGCCACCACATTAATACAACACTAAATAGTAGTGTAGGAACAAATTTTTTTTGTTTCTATACAATTTTGAAGATTGCCATAATGCATAGATCCCTGACATATCTTATTCTTAATATCAGATTAGTGGTTAAATCTGTTGTTAGCTCAATAAAAGATCAGAGTAGGAATATATCAATGCACTCTAGTCTAGTGAATTTGGTGGTGAAGGTCATATTTCACACAGCCTAAATTTCATGACTACATCAAAGGACAACACAGTAAGACACTTTATTAAAATCTAGGTCAGCTGAAATCAAAGTTCACTTTACATCTTAATCTGTGCACATGGTTCAAATTTCATAGCTGTACATCAAAGGACAAGAAAGTAGGTCACATCATCCAAATCTAGGTCACCTGATATCAAAATTCAATTTTACAACTAAAACTGTGCACATGGTCAAAATTTCATTGCTGTACATCAAAGGACAAGAAAGTAGGTCACTGTCCCCTTGGGCAAGGCAAGGATTTAATTCAAAACAATCTTGATACAGTCCACCAAACAACATTTCAAGTCAAATATCTAAGTTGTAGCTTTCTCCCATTCAGAAAACATTTGTTTTATTTTCTGTTTTTACTATGTGTACATAATGAGAATCACTGCCCCCGGGCAGGGCCAATTTTGACACCAGGGGAAAAATTTGAACAACTTTGGTAGAGGACCTATAGATGATATTATATAGCAAACATCAAAGCTCTATGCCTTGTACCTTCAGACAAAAATATTTTTTTACTATATGTACATAATGAAAATCAATGACCCCCGGGGCGGGACCAATTTTTACCCCAGGGCTATAATTTGAACAATCTTGGTGAAGGTTCACTTTGCCAAGTCTCATGCCATATATTTAACCTCTAGCCTTTGTCAATTCAGAGAAGAAGATTTTTCAAGTTTTTACTTTATACATATAAGGAAAACTATCGCCTTGGGGCAGGGAAATTTTAACACTAGGGGCATATTTAAAACAACTTTAGTAGAGGACCCATAGATGATATTATATACCAAATATCAAAACTCTAAGCCTTGAACCTTCAGACAAGAAGATTTTTTATTTTTTTACCATATGTACATAGTGAAAATCAATGACCCCTGGGGGTGGGGGCCAGGCCAATTTTGACCCCAGGGCTATAATCTTGCTAGAGGTTCACTACATAATGTTTCATGAAAAATATCTTAACTCTAGCCTTTGTAAATTTAGAGAAGATGATTTTTTTAAGTTTTTACTATATACATATAAGGAAAACCTATGGCCCCCGGGGCGGGGCTAATTTTGACACTAGAGGCAAAATTTGAACAACTTTGGTAGAGTGCCTATAGATGATATCATTTAACAAATATTAGAGCTCTAGGCCTTGTACCTTCAGACAATAAGATTTTTTTATTTTTTACTATATGTATATATTGAAAATTAATGACCCTGGGGTGGGGGCAATTTTCACCCCAGGGCTATAATTTGATCAATCTTGCTAGAAGTTCACTTCACAATGTTTCATGCAAAATATCTAACCTCTAGCATTTGTCAATTGCTAGAGGAATTTTTTTTAAAGTTTTTACTATATACATATAAGGAAAACTAATGACCCCCGGGGCGGGGCCGATTTTGACCCCAGGGCTATAATTTGAACAATTTGGGTAGAGGTTCACTTCACAATGTTTCATGCAAAATATCTAACCTCTAGCATTTGTCAATTGCTAGAAGAATTTTTTTTTAAGTTTTTACTATATACATACAAATGTATAAGGAAAACCAATGACCCCCGGGGAGGGGCCGATTTTGACCCCAGGGCTATAATTTGAACAATTTGGGTAGAGGTCTACCACACAATGCCTTATGCAAAATATCTAAGCTCTAGGCCTTTTTGGTCTTTAAAAGAAGGATTTTAAGTTTTTACTATATGTACATATAGTGAAAATCAATGACCCCAGGGAGGGGGCCGATTTTGACCCCAGGGCTATAAGTTGAACAATCTTGGTAGATTTCTACCAGACAATGCCTTATGCAAAATATCTAAGCTCTAGGCCTTTTGAATCTTTACAAGAAGATTTTTTAAATTTATTCTTATAATTCCTTTTGGTTGCCATGGCAACCAGATTTCTGCATGGAATGAAATTCTTTGAACAACTTTGGAAGCCCTTCACCCAAGGATCAATCCTGCCAAGTTTGGTTGAAATTGGACAAGTGATTTTTCACAAGAAGATTTTTTAAGTTCACTATACAATCTATATAACACACACACACACACGCACACAAACAAACACACACACATACATACACACAGGTGAATCCCTATATGCCACAGCATCGCAGATGCTGCGGTGGCATAAAAAAAGTAGATCAACTCATATCAAAATTCAAATCTTCATTAAAACCAGTGGGTATAGTCCATATTTCATAGCTGTAGCTGTTGATACAAATACATGTATGTAAGTCACAGGGTCAAAAATCTAGGTCAACAATTATCAAAGTTTAAATCTGCATCTGGAATAAGGTTGTTGTTCAAATTGCAATGCTGTAGCTCTCAATACATAAAAAGTCACTTGGTAAATATATAGGTCGAAGTTCAATTCAGCATCTTAAAATGTCATATAGTCCAAGTTTTACAGCTATAGCTCTCATCACAAAATGTTGGTCACTATGTCAAAATCTTGGTGAACTCACATCAAATTTTAATTCTACATCTGAAATTGTGCAAAAAGTTCAACTTTAAATACAAACAAAATTGCATTTGTGAAAAATGCTATGCCACTGCATTAATACAACACTAAATAGAAGTGTGGGAACAAACAATTATTTTTTTGTTCCTATTCAATTGAACTTTGCAATTATCCAGTTGAGTCTAGAGAGTGGTCATGGTCATATTTCACATGGTCTAAATTTCATGACTGTACATCAAAGGGACAAGACAGTAAGTCACTTTGTCAAAATCTAGGCCAGCTGATATCAAAGTTCAATTTACATCTTAATCTGTACAAATGGTTAAAATTTCATAGTTGTACATCAAGGGACAAGAGAGTAGGTCACTGTCGCCTTAGCAAAGCAAAATTTTGGCCAAAGGGTTTAATTCAAACACTCTTCACTCTTGATACAGGTCCACAAGATAATGTTTCATGTCAAATATCTAAGCTGTAGCTTTCTCCTATTCAGAAAACATATGTTTTAGTTTCTGTTTTTATTAGGAGTACATAATGAAAATAAACCCCTCCCTCCCATCCGGGCGAGCCAATTTTGACCCCAGGGCTATAATTTGAACAATCTTAGTAGAAGTCCACTACACAATGTTTCATGCAAAATATCTAACCTCTAGCCTTTGTCAATTTATGAGAAGATGATTTTTTAAAGTTTTTACTATATACATAGAAGGAAATTCTATGACACCCCAGATGCAGGGCCAATTTTGACAAAATTTTTAGTTTTAAAAACATTGACCAATTAGTAAAGGAGATGTTGATTGAAACATTAGTTGATGACGCACAACAGACACAGTCCAGTCACAATAGCCCACCATGAGTTTATAGATCTCAGGTGAGCTAAAAATGTATTTAAAACAATATATCAATCCATATAATTTTGTAGGGGTCCATTAGATCATGTTACACACAAAATATCTGAACTCAAAAGACTTGTTGTATCATGCAAAATCTTTTATAAAAATAAATTTTATCATGTCTTTATAAAACAAAGTCACCCTTTGGTTGGGGAAAATTGATGGTGTCATTTCCGTGAAAATAGGCTCGTGCTCCAGTATACTCATCCTACCAGTATAGAGAGGGACCAAACAATGCATCTTCACATTCTGAGATCACACCTTATACTGCCTATTGCTAAAAAATATTGTTAATTTTGAGATATTGAAATGACCTGATTAAACACTGAACAATCAAAATTAATAACCAGACATGTCCATCATTCAAAGCAGCAAATTTATAGTAAATCCTACAATTGTACTCTGACATCTTTTAACAACATCGTTAGGATTTTAACTATGATTACCATTTAAAAATCTTATTTGAAAAAACTACAATTTGATATTTGTTACTATGGATTATAAGTGGTTAAATATCTATCAACATCCTGGCGACACACAGGACACTTCAAAGGCTCGGGTAAAATTGTAACACATTCCGCACAGAGACATATATGTCCACAGTCTAGCAGGACAATCTCTCTCGGATTCGATAAACAAACCACACAAGAGCTACTTATATCATTATCACTTTCTTCTCTTTGATCTTCGGTTTGACGTCGTAATTCACGCACACTGTTGATAAAATCTTCACGAATTCTTTTAGCTTTAAATATTTTTATCTGTTTATAAATAATATGTATCAACAGAGCTGTACCTATAGCACCAGCACTTAGCATGAAAAACTTTACCCAAAAGGACTTATTTTCAAGTTTCTTTATTACCTCACCCCGGCTCAGTTTTGTCAATATATACATCTGACCATTTTTCGGAGGTTGAAGTTGTAATTTGTTATCAAGGTATGCTATTTCTCCAATTCCTAGAAGTAAGGTATTGGTAAGTAACATTTTTTCTGTCTCGTGATATCCTTTGCTTACATCGCCGAAAAGATGATCCATGCCACGTGAAAGCATATTGCCTCCTTCAACAGGTTCAAATACATCATGGGTAATTGTTAGATCATCCAACAGGAAGTTAGCAGTGGTTGGTTCTGTGACAAGAATTTCGGTTTTTGCTTCTTTTCCCAGCCAGCGTTTAATAGTAAATGGAACGGTCTGTATCTTGTCCTGAATGGTATTTTTAACATCTGTCCTGAAATTATATCAAATGGAAAATCCTGAAATATGAAACAAAGCCATTCAGCCAACAATTCTAACAAGTTTTGATTAAATTTGCATTGAACTTCTACCAGATTCACTCAATTCAAGATCTCTTACACTTTTTTATCATAGCAAACTATATTTTACACAAGTATAAATCATTTCAAAACATCTACAGGCTTGAGCAGCATTTAACCTTCACAACTAAAATTTAATGTAACAGGCAAAACCTACATAACTTTTCACTCAAAATTGTGCAGGTTCATATTTTTATTTGAAGACAAAAGATTCAATATTAATACAAAAAGATCTTTACAAAAACCAAAATAAATTCTGTTTTGCTACTGTATTTTAGCATTTCTTATCATGCACTTAGTCAAAAAAAGTCAAAATATGCAATATACAAAATAAAACATCAATGAAAAACTTTCAAATAAAAATTTGGCACTATATAAATGTTTAAATTAGACCTTTAATCATAAGACAGGTGCTTCAGATTCCACTCTTTTACTGTCTGTGTCTACATGTACTTACCAGATACCCTGTAGCCTTTTCGATTTATGTTCAGTTATTATTATATGCTGCATAACCCCAGTCTTTCCCTCGGCATGTCTGCTGTGTAACACTTCTCTCACCGGCATAACTTCCCCTTCAACACAAGCATATGCCAGACATGATGATTTGCCCTCAGATAGCTCTTTGACGAGGCTGTCATCTAGCTTACGATATGGTGCTTTCTTAAAATAAACAATATAACTCTTGTTACATTTAGCAATGATGGACAAGGAAAACATTTATGCTTTGTTCCGTTAAACTATTTTTGTTCTTCCTTTTTTTGCACCTGTATAATAATAAATATATGGTCTCTAAAGATTATCTGATAACTTTACATGTAAACACCAAGATTGATTGAAATATTCAAGAAAACGCAAATTAAATGAAACCGAATCTCTTTTAGCTACCCTTGAAACACTTAAGATTAAATCTTCATAAAAAAGATTAAAGCTTCCCTACTACACAATGTGATTTAAGAGTTGAAGTGTCTTGCTCCCTGAAGTACCAGCTTTATAATTAAAGATTGTGCTCTTTTAACCAGCAATAATATTAAACTGTTGCAATGTTCAATTTTGTAAATAGTGATCTGGAATGGTAACTACATGTTTACATAGTGAGCAGTATTTATTGGTGTCCTTGTGGGGACTGCAAAATTTTGGTGCTACTATTAACTATGTGTATCTTATGACTGTTAAAAAGTGACATTATGCCCATATATGAGTGAAAATGGCATGTGTAAAAGGTCAAATTCACAGTAAACTTTAGATTTTGCCATAATTGCTTTCAATTTTATAGTTAATTCATGTGTCGTATAATCAAATTAACCAATGTGACTTACTTTCAGTAGGGCGAAATATCACAAACATTGTATGTATAGCCAATTTTATTCAACTCAACAGCGAAAAATGAGCATGTCACTTTAAACAGTTAGCAAATCTGCTATAAAGGGGGCACAGATTAAATCTAATTGCCCTTTAGAGGAGCCTACCAAATATAATTGCCTCAACTGGATAGATCATATAAGGATGCTTAACAATCAAGTATGCTACCAGGGCTTTTTTAACAGGTTGGGGAAGCAGCCCAGTCCTTAATTTTGGGGAAAAATTACATGGTATATTTGCAAAAGGGGAAGAAAAAACTTGATGTAAATTCAATTTTTTGGGAAAACTACATGATTTTAAAGAAATTTTATTTGGGGATAAGCAGCCCTATACCCGCCCCTGTTATAGAAGGTAAAAAGGCCTGGCTACCAATCAAGTTTGCATACAAAATCAGGAAATTTTCAATATTGTTTCATTATCTGATATTTCCTTGAGCTAATCCTGTAAGAGCATGTATTACATTTTAGCTATAAATATCAAATGACAATTTACATAGTTAAAATTTCAATACCATATATTTATATAATCACCCTGTATTTTATACCCATTTGAACCTTCCTCAAAACACTTTACCATTAAAAAGCAATAACTTATGCATGTAGTTGGAAACATTTGCGAACAATCAACTTAATGAGGTTTAGATACTATATCCTAAAGATGATGCACTTGTTGAAGTAAAACTTTGATGTAACAAAAGTGTTTATGTCTAAATTTTGGGCTAAAAGAATATGGTGGCAGTGACTTTTCTGAAATTTTTTAAACAACCTGTGGCTTTCTGAAGGAAAATAAAAGCTGTCACGCAAAAGTGACAAATGCCCCACGCATTGCAGAAAGGTATTATGAAAAGAAAAGAGAATGAAAATAACTAATTGCTTTATATTGTTCTTGTGAAATGAAGTGCTTTATAGCAAACTTGTCACCTTGGGATAAGACACATCATCTTGATGTGGTAGACATTTATGCCAAGTTATTTTAAAATCCTTCAATGCATTTTAATGTTACAGTTTGGAAACTAATATGTACCTTCAAACTATTCTTATGAGTATAAGTACCTTTAAACTATTAGAGTGACCTTGACCATGGAGGTAGGAACATGGGTCTTGACCAGAGCTGCATTACTGGTACTGGTACTGGTACTGCAGTACGTACTGCAGGGATTTTGCAAGTACTGGTACTGATACTGAATTACTCTTACAAAATTTTGCTACTACTGGTACTGGTACTGCATTACTGTCTTAACAAGAGCTGTCCGTAAGACAGCGCGCTCGACTTTTTTATTGCTTGCCAATAAAAAAAGTTTTTGCAGTAAAAGGCAATACAAGAATCTCTGTATTTTTAAAGTGAACAATGGCCATGAGCATTAAGATATTTAGTGAAGAATTATTTTATTATGACATAATTTATGGTAAAGTGAACAAGTGGATAGGAATGAATTTTTTTAGATTTTTTAAGTTTTTTAGTGCTTGCCTATAATACAAAACATTGACAGTTAAGGGCCATAATTCAAATAAAATCTTTGACAGAATTACCTTCTCCTGGACATGTTTGGGAATCATGATTGTAAACAAGTATTCCAACTTTCAAATTAATATCTCAAACAGTTCAGTCAAAAAGTGGACTGGTACTAAAAACTTAACCAAGATTCTAAGTCGATAAAAGGCCTTAATTTTTAAAACAAATCCTTGACAGAGTTACCTTCTCTTGCGTACAGATGGGGGTAATGATGTGAAATAGCATTAAAAGTTTCAAAGCAATATCTCAAAGGGTTAAGGCAATAAGTGGATTTTACCCATATTCAATGTATTTTCTAAGTCAAAAAGGGGCATAATTCTGTCAAAAACCTTGACAGAGTTATGTCCTCTTGTCTGTTGATGAAGGTCGTGATGGTAAACAAGTATGGTCAGTTTCAAAGCAATACCTCCAATGGTTTTGAAATAAAGTGAGGTGGTACAAAAAACTTAACCAAGCTCAATACACTTTCTAAGTCAAAAAAGGGCCAAATTCTGTCAAAAACCTTGACAGAGTTATGTACTCTTGTCTGTAGATGGAGGTTATGATGGTGAACAAGTATGGTAAGTTTCAAAGCCATACTTGTAATACTTCTGAAATAAAGTGGGGTGGTACGAAAAACTTAACCAAGGTGTGACGCCGACGCCGACGCCGGGGCGAGTAGGATAGCTCCCCTTTTCATAGAAAAGTCGAGCTAAAAACTGGTACTGCTACTGCATTACCCAGTACTTTTGGTTTTGATAAAAATTAAAAAATAGCAGTAATTTTTCTCATAAAATAAAGCTGTAAATTACATTAACTATATTTTATTTTTGTGAAAAAGTAAGTTATCAAATATAAAGATAATTTGCTGCAATCTTCCTTCAAATGTTAACATAGTATTCATCATAAAAAGCACCAAAGACTTAAAGTAACAAGAGCTGTCCGTAAGACAGCGCGCTCGACTTTTTTAGTGCTTGCCTATAAAACAAAACTTTGACAGTTAAGGGCACACAAGACTTTAACTAGGAATTTCTAAGTACAAATCAAGAAACATTTTCACAGAGTTATCTTCTCTTGCTTACAGATAGGTCTCATGATGGCACATAAGAACTCCAACTTCCAAAGTAATATCTCAAATGGTTAAGTCAACAAGTGGACAAGAATGAAAATCTTAACTGAGTTTCTAAGTCAAAAAGGGCCATAATTCAAATAAAATCCTTAACAGAATTACCTTCTCCTGCCCATGTTTTGGGACCATGATGGTAAACAAGTATTCCAACTTTCAAATTAATATCTCAAACAGTTCAGTCAAAAAGTGGACTGGTACTAAAAACTTAACCAAGATTCTAAGTCGATAAAAGGCCTTAATTTTTAAAACAAATCCTTGACAGAGTTACCTTCTCTTGCGTACAGATGGGGGTAATGATGTGAAATAGCATTAAAAAGTTTCAAAGCAATATCTCAAAGGGTTAAGGCAATAAGTGGATTTTACCCATATTCAATGTATTTTCTAAGTCAAAAAGGGGCATAATTCTGTCAAAAACCTTGACAGAGTTATGTCCTCTTGTCTGTTGATGAAGGTCGTGATGGTAAACAAGTATGGTCAGTTTCAAAGCAATACCTCCAATGGTTTTGAAATAAAGTGAGGTGGTACAAAAAACTTAAACCAAGCTCAATACACTTTCTAAGTCAAAAAAGGGCCATAATTCTGTCAAAAACCTTGACAGAGTTATGTACTCTTGTCTGTAGATGGAGGTTATGATGGTGAACAAGTATGGTAAGTTTCAAAGCCATACTTGTAATACTTCTGAAATAAAGTGGGGTGGTACGAAAAACTTAACCAAGGTGTGACGCCAACGCTAACGCCGACGCCGGGGCGAGTAGGATAGCTCCCCTTTTCATAGAAAAGTCGAGCTAAAAATTAAACTAAGATAAACAGACTCAATAACTCTTTACCCTAAAATATCCTTATAAAAATCTTTTATTACTTTGTATTAATTGAACAGAGGTGTGAAGGTGTGAAAGGCAACAAAAGACTGTTGTGTTTTAAATGAAAAATGTTTGCATTGTATTTATACAGTTGACTGGTAACTAAACAATTAGATATGACATGAATATATGTTGTAAATGTTGTTTGTAAAAAGTATGTTAAAACTATAAAGTTGTAAATATGTTATGTTAACTTTAAAGGAACTCCACTGAGGTTTATAAGCCTAAAACATAAACATTTTAATTTTTTCACATAGATTAACACGAGCACTTTAAACAAAAATAAAAATAAAATATAACAAAGAAATATACAAGAAATGCATTGAAAATCATGTTTGTGCTATTCTCAATCTGATTTGAGTGAAAAGCGTTTTCAACGCTTTTCAAATTTGGGTCATTTTTCACTATTATAATAATTATTCTGGAAAAATGGAGCTAGCTAATGATCTGAAATTTTACACATAAGTTATTAGGATAGATCTACATCAAAAATGGAGTAATAATCTCAAAAAATTATTTCAAGTCCTGTCATTGTCAAAAAACCTCAGTGGAGTCCCTTTAAAGTAAATGATGATTTTATTTCTTTGCTGAATAATATTTGCAATTATTTGTTTGACACTGTATTTATTCAAACTTTGATGAATATATAAAAGTAATGGTACTGATACTTAATTACTTCACCAAAAAAAGTACTGGTACTGCAGTACCGAGCTAAAATCTAGTACTGGTACTGGTAATGGTACTGCATAATTTGCCAAGTACTGGTACTGGTACTTAAGTACTACACCCTTAGTACTGATGCAGCTCTGGTCTTGACACACAACATGACGTCTTCATCTGGTAGACATTTGTGCCAAGTTATTTTTAACAAAGTTACAGTCTCGACATGAATGTGTATCTACAAAGTATTCTTGAGAAAATGAGTACCTTCTAATTGAAAGAGTCACCTTAGATGTAGGAACATGGGTCTTGAACATGACATGTCATTTTAAAGACAGACATGTGGTAGACATATATGCTACTTTATTTTCAAATCCTCCCATGCATAAAAAAGTTACAGTCCAGACACAAATACTCTACTGGTAAGAATGTCAAACCTTCAATTTGTAAGTGTGATTTTGATCTTTGACTAACGGACATGGGTCTAAAATGAAACACATCACCATAATGTGTTTGACTTTTGTTCCAAGAATTTTTAAAATTCTTCTATGTATGACGAAGCTACAGTTTGAACACAAATGTGTACATGTACAACCTCTAAGTGTGACCTTAACCTTTTCGGTGGTGATATGGGCCTTAGCCATATGACACATTGTCTGGATTTGGTAGATACTTGTGCAAAGTTATTCAAAAATCTATTAATGAACAACAAAGTGACAGTCCGGACAGGAATGTGTACATCCTTCAAATTATAAGTGTGACCTTGACCTTAGAGGTAGGACATGGGTCTAGAACCCGACATGTCGTCTTGACGAAGTAGACATTTATGCCCAGTTATTTTAAAATGCTTTGATGCAATACAAAGTTACAGTCCGGACATGAATGCGTGTACCTATAATCTCTAATAGTGATAGAATGAACCTTCAAAATGTAAGTGTGAACTTGACCATTTGAAGAAGGGACATGGTTCTTGGATGCAACAAAACATAGTGATGTTGTAGACATTTATGCCAAGTTATTTTGAAATCCTTCGATGCATGACAAAGCCACAGTCTGGAGACACAAATGTGTGTACCACTCAATTCTAATTGTGATAAAGAGAAACTTCAAAATGTTAGTGTGACCTTGACCTTTGAGGTAGGGACATGATTCATGATGTGACACATCGTCTTTATGTGGTAAACATTCATACCAAGTTATTTTAAAATCCTTTGATGCATGACAAAGTTACAGTCTGGACAGGAATGTGTGTACCTAGTATTAACTCTAATTAAGATAATGTGAAACTTCAAAATGTTAGTGTGACCTTGACCTTTAAGGTAGGGACATGATTTTTGGAAGCGACACATTGTCTTGATGTGGTGGACATTTATGCCAAGGTATTTTAAAATCCTTAGATGCATGACAAAGTAACAGTCTTGACACAAATGTGTGTACCTATTAACTCTATTGTGTTAATGTGAAACTTCAAAATGGTAGTGTGACCTTGACCTCTGAGGTACGGACTTGTTTCTTGACCGTAACACATCATCTTGATGTGGTAGACATTTGTTCCAAGCTATTTTAAAATAAAAAGTCTTCAAATACCAGTACTTGAAATTTAATCATTTTTTTAATATTTTTTTTAACTGTTCAGGAGGCCAGATTTTGTACAATGCTATAGATCATGTTCTTGTATATGACGATAAGGTCAACTTTGATGAATAAACTTCTGTCTGGCCTGTTTTTTATCTTTAAGTGTAGCAGTCTTAAAATAAAATTATTATTTATTTTCAACAAATAGATCTAGCAAATCATTTTGAAACAAGAGCCAAGGTCAATTAAAGGTCAAGGTCGTATCTAAATTAATCAACTTTTGGCCACAAGTGTTGTTTGGTCCACATATGAATTTAATCCGTACATATTAAATAACACAATAATGACATTTTAACCAAAATTCAATAATTTGACTTTTATGGTCAAGGTTATTAAAAGCTGCTCAAAGTCAAGGTCAGCTCAACCTTTTAGAACGTCTTAACCCAAAGGTTGTTTTGTCCAAGTATGAAGATAATCCATTGATTAATTACCAAGTTACAGCCATTTATAAAAATAATCAGTAAAAATTCAATAATTTGACCTTCAAGGTTAAGGTCATACATGAGTCAAGGTCAATTTGAGCTTGATATACATTAATGTTCTAACTCAAGGATGTTGTGTCTAAAATATAACATGAAGTTAATCCATTCATAATTAACAAAGTTATAGCCAGTTACAGGGAAAAAAAATAAAATTTCAATAATTTGACCTTCAATGTCAAGGTCACTTATGGGTGAATGTCAAGGTCATTTATGGGTGAATGTCAAGGTCATTTATGGGTGAATGTCAAAGTCTTTCTGATAAATTTGAAGGTATATCCTAAAAGATTCTGTTCATGTTTGAAAACAATCCTTTCAAAAATAACTAAGTTAAAGCCACTAATAGCAACAATCAACAAAAATTTAGACATTTGACCTTGAAGGTCAAGGTCATTTTTTGAAGGAAGGTCAAGTTTATTCGGGTGTGCCCCAAGGGTTATTGTGACCAAGTATGCAGACAATACACCAATTAAGAACTTAAAAAGTCATGATCAAGGTTAACAGTCCAGAGTGATCAGGGATCACATGTGTCGCCTTCTGAAAGCCATTGAATTGCATGTTACAGTTAATGTGTAGCAGGAGTAACAAAAACCTGTAAAAGGTCAAAATACACTTTTATTCAAGAGCAATTTATAACCCAGCCAAAAATCATTCAATCAGAAAACCTATGTAAAATGCGCAAATACTTGAGCTACTGATCAATCCTATAGGGCTAAAGTTTCATTGAAATTGTATAAGGGGCAAAAGTGGAGTAAACTAAATGGCCATAACCCTGACAAAAATTATTGAAACAGAAAATGCCAACGATAAGCGCAATTTAAGACTTGGTACTGATCATTCCTCTGAAGTTTGGACGAAATTGCATCAGAAAATTTTTGAGGAGTAGGCCTAAGCAAGTTTTGTGACGGCCAGACAGACAGACAGACCGATGGACAGACAGACGGACGACGGGAAAGTGATCCATGTAGGCCTACGTACGTCGCAAAACTCTGCAGAGCTAACTAAAAAGGCCTTTTTTAAAGGGACAATTTTAGCGAGACACCTGTTTAAGGTGATTCCGCTTTGTCAGCCATGTTTGTTTTCACAAAGTCTGTCCAAAGTGAAAGTAGGCCAAAATTCATATAACAACAAAGCTCTTATTTTAAAATGATGAACCATTTGAAAGTACACTTCCAGGTTTATATTTTAAGGACAATTATAAACAAAAATAAAAATGATAACAATAAGAATATTTACCTTGAATGTGCTACATTTCTGAAGACCAAAAACATTCTGTTGCAAAGTTTTATGCACATTTCATGAATGGCAAAATCCTTTTTTAAGTCTGTTTTAGTGCCTACAAAAGCTATTTTTTGCAGCAAATACAAAAATGTTTCAAAACTTAACTCCAAATAAATCCATATCTCATGTCCTTCTAAGCACATGGCCTCCATTATTTTTTGTAAAAAAGTAGTGCAAGAAAACAATCATCATTTATAGCCTTATGAACTACAATTAAAATGAAAACACAATCAATCTTTAAAATCTAACCTTTTTTATGTGTAGCAGTGAAGTGTGTCTGTTTGTCATGTACACAAGAGATAGATAAATGATGTTTATTTTCATGGTACTACTTTTTTACACATGTCATGGTGGCCATGTTTTTTCAAGGTCAGATAAACTACTTTCCTAAGGTTTATATTTTTAAAAGTTTTTTGTATTTTCTGCAAAAAGGAGCTTTTGTAGGCACTAAAACAGACATTAAAAAGGATTTTACCATTCATGAAATGTGCATAAAACTTTGCAACAGAATGTTTTTGGTCTTCAGAAATGTAGCACATTCAAGGTAATTTTTCTTATTGTTATCATTTTTATTTTTGTTTAAAATAGTCTTTAAAACATAGAACTGGAAGTGTACTTGCAAATGGCTCATCATATAACAATGTGAGCTTTGTTGTTATATGAATTTTGGCCTACTTTCACTTTGGACCCACATAGTGAAAACAAACATGGCTGACAAAGCAGAATCACCTTAATCAGTCACCGTTACAAATTATTATACCTTTATTTCATCTGCCGACCTGTTAATTGTCTTAAACCATCTATAAAATATGGTGAAAAATATTAAATCTACACCAAGGCCGATGATAGATCCGATATCTGACCCTGTCATCTTTGCAAAACAGAAAACAGGAAACAGAAACTTTTTCAACTTTCGAGTTCTGTCTCCATGAAAAGTTCGCACTCGGGTCAATTCGGCTCCCAGTCATCTCGGCCCTATACCAACTCGAAACACGAAACAACTCGATCGGCTCAATATTATATATTACTGGTAATGATTGCTTTTATATGTTTTCATTACTTTCACATGCTTTGATATTTTCGCGTTTATAATACTTAAATTATTGAAATATACAGCAAAAGTTTTATTTATGAAATAATGTGAATTGGTAGTGAAGGAAGAATTTACCATTTATAAATTTATGTTTGCCAACTCTGGGACTTTTTAAAGCCTCAGGCCGATTTTAGATATTTTTGCAGAAAAAAGTAGTTCAAACAAAATATTGTGTAATAAATGAAAAACAGTGTTTAATATAGTTACATATATTGTTACAAAATTCAACCAAACACTTAATTATTTATAGATTAATATTATATAAAACAACATATGTCTTAAACAGAGATAATTTTTAACAATTATAATCTTTATCCTGCCGACTTTTTTCAAAATGTATTTGTGAGTGAAAATAAATCTGAATAATTGTAAAGAAAGTGTAATTTACTCCTTAAAAATTATTTATTATATAGTGGTGTTGTCCGGTGCCGAGTTAGTATAGGGCCGAGTTAATTTTGTATTAATAAGTACAGTAGATGTGAACTGTCCTTCAGAGATATATATTGAATGGTTACTGACATATTTTAGTTAAAACAGATTGAAACTTTATTATTTAATTATTTTCGTTAAAAAGACGTTTATATACAAATAACGATTCGCCCCATTCATCATTCGTCCCATAACGACTCGACCCCACAGTTGCACTTTAGTGATGATGCGCCATCTTATCTTAAACCTTTTTTTAATTCGTTTAGATTTGAAAAAGAAAATTATGGTTGGGGTAATGCTTGCATTTATTTTGGTATACTTTTTTACAAACTAACAATTGATTTAGATCTATAGACTAAGAAAACTAACTAAATTACCAACCATTTGGGTATGTAAAAGAACCAAGGGGTCTTAGGAAATGGTTCCCGGATTCCCTTGTATCCCAAGCTGTCTTTGGTGTCTGCTGAGGTAAGGCACAGACACTTGGGGTTTGGAGCTCTAAACGCCTTTAAAATCCAAATAAAATGCATATTTGTCAATCCCAGCACCAAACTCCCCGCAGCGGTTACTTCCCCTGATCAGTACAGTAATGCTGCAAAGGGGGGCAATCACTGTGAGGAGTTTGTCCCAGCACATGTACTGATCATATATATAAAAAAAAACTTAATATAAGCCGTTTTGAAAAAAAATCATATTTCAACATCTATAATAATTATTATATCAGTACATGTGCTGGGATTGGCAAAGACGCATTTTATTTGGATCTTAAAGGCGTTTTGAGCTCCAAACCCCAAGTGTCTGTGAGGTAAGGACCCTTCTGGAAATGCTTGCACTTTCGTCAATGGCACTTTCGTAGGTTATCTTTGCCTACTAAAGTGGGACGAGTCGTTAAATAGGGCGAATTGTCATTGGGACGAATCGTTACCAATTTGCAGTGACCTCGAATTTGACAGATCGGCTCGCGCTACTTTCATTTTGCTGTTTGGACTGGGTCGGTATATCGTAGTCATCAATATATATTCAAGTCTTTTTACGATTTAGGGTATTTAGGTAAGATTTTCTTTTCTGATAGGCTTTATAAGCTGTAGGTTAATTTTAATATTAGTTTTGTAATTGTGTATTTTTAAAGCTACATGTATCATGCATGAACCGAGTGATAGTGTCATCGTGCTTGTACCATAACCAGGTCTAGGATTTCAGAATAGTCATGGAACAGTCTGTATTTATCAACCATCCATAATTTTATAGACAATTTATCTGTTAATTTAAAGACAATAAGTAGGATAACTGATATTAGTAAAGAAGTTGTATTGATATTCATTTTTTAAGAATAATGTTATTGAATGTATGACATAGTAGCTTAATAGATTCAAAACAATATGATGGCTTAATCAAGGATTTCAGAGTCAGCATACAGATATACAACTTGTCTCATTTACAATGTTAATGTAACAATGAATAATGCAACCAGTTAAAATAACACCTCATTATGATATATAACCACCAATTATAGAATAATAATATTAATGCCACCAGTATAAAATAATGCCACCAGTATTTTATTTTACTGTATTAATAATAATTCCACAAGTATAGAATATGCCACCAATATAGAAAATGCCACAAGTATACAATAATGCCACCAATATAGAATAATGCCACCAATATAGAAAATGCCACCAGTACAGAATAATGTCACCAGTATATCATTATGCCACCATAGAAAAGGACACCAATATAAAATAATGCAACAAGTGTAAAATAATGCCTCCAGTGTAGAAGATATATCACCAGTGAAGAAGACTGCCAGCAGTAAAGAATAATATGCTATCAAAGTATAATGCCACCAGTATCAAATAATGCACTAGTATAAAATAATGCCACCAATATAGAATAATGTCAGCAGTATAAAATAATGCAAGCAGTAAAGAATAATATTATCAAAATAATATCATGCCACCAGTATCAAATAATGACTCCAGTATTAAATAATGCTACCAGTATATTTTTTAATGCTACTGGTATAAAATAATGCCACCAACATAAAATAATGCCACCAGCATGACCAGTATAGAATTATCCTAACAGTATATAGAATTGTGCCACCAGTATAAAATAATGGCTTCAGTATAGAAAATGCTACCATTATAGAACCAAGCCACCAGTATAAAATAATGCCATCACTGCCCACCAGTATAAAATAATGGCTTCAGTACAGAAAATGTTACCATTATAGAATAATGCCACCAGTATAAAACAATGCCACCAGTATAGAATAATGCCACCAGTATAAAATAATGCCACCAGTATAGAATAATGCCACCAGTATAAAATAATGCCACCAGTATAGAATAATGCCACCAGTATAAAATAATGCCACCAGTATAGAATAATGCCACCAGTATAGAATAATGCCACCAGTATAGAATAATGCCACCAGTATAGAATAATGCCACCAGTATAAAATAATGCCACCAGTATAGAATAATGCCACCAGTATAGAATAATGCCACCAGTATAGAATAATGCCACCAGTATAGAATAATGCCACCAGTATAGAATAATGCCATAAGTATAAAATAATGCCACCAGTATAAAATAACACCACCAGTATAAAATAATGCCACAAGTATAGAATAATGCCATAAGGATAAAATAACACCAGTAGTATAGAATAATGCCACCAGTATTAAATAATGCCACAAGTATAAAGTAATGCCACAAGTATAAAATAATGCAGCCGGTATAGAAAATTGCCACGAATATTAGATAATGCCACTAGTATGAAAAAATGTCACCAGTACAGAATAATGCCACAAGTATAGTATAATGCCACCAGTATAGTATAATGCTTTGAGAATAAAAAATGCCACCATTATAGAATAATGCCACCAATATAGAATAATGCTGCCAGTATAAAATAATGCCAACAGTATGAAATAATGCCACCAGTATAGAACAATGCAACCATTATAAAATAATGCCATCAGTATAGAATAATGCCACAAGTATAGAAAAATGCCACCGGTATAGAATAATGCCACCAGTATTAAATTATGCTATCAGTAAATTATAATGCCACCAGTATAAAATAATGCCACCAGTATACAATAATGCAACCAGTTAAGAATAATGCCACCAGTATAGAATAATGCCACCAGTATAGAATAATGCCACCAGTATAAAATTATGCCACCAGTAAAATATAATGCCACCAGTATAAAAATATGCCATCAGTATAGAATAATGCCACCGGTATAGAATAATGCCACCAGTGTTAAATAATGCTATCAGTAAATTATAATGACACCAGTATAAAATAATGCCACCAGTATAGAATAATGCCAACAGTATAGAACCATGCCACCAGTATAAAATTATGCCACCAGTATAAAATAATGCCATCAGTACAGAATAATGCCACCAGTACAGAACAATGCCACCAGTATAGAACCATGTCACCAGTACAGAATAATGCCACTAGTATAGAATAATGCCACCAGTATAGAATAATGCCACTAGTATAGAATAATGCCACCAGTGTAGAATAATGCCACAAGTATAAGATAATGCCACCAGTTTAAAATAATGCAACCAGTATAGAATAATGTCATAAGTATAAAATAATTCCACCAGTATAAAATAATGCCACCAGTATAGAATAATGCCATAAGGATAAAATAATGCCATCAGTATAAAATAATGCCACCAGTATTGAATAATGCAACCAGTATAGAATAATGCCACCAGTATAAAAGAATGCCACCATTTTAAAATAATACCATCAATATAGAATAAAGCCACCAGTTTAAAATAATGCCACCAGTATCAAATAAAGCCACCAGTATAGAATAATGTCACCAGTATAAAATAATGCAATCAATATAAAATAAAGCAACCAATATAGAATAATGCCACCGGTATAAAACAATGCCAATGGTATAAAACAATGCCACCAGTATAGAATAATGCCACCATTATAATAATGCCACCAGTATCAAATAATGCTGCCAACATAAAATAATGCCACCAGTATAAAATAATGCCAGCACAAAATAATAATGCCATCAGTATAGAACCATGCCACCAGTATAAAATAATGCCACCAGTATAGAATACTGCCACAAATATAGAATAAATGCCACCAGTATAGAATAATGCCATCAGTATAAAATAATGCCACCAGTATAAAATAATGCCACCAGTATAGAATAGTGTCACCAGTATAGAATAATGCCACCAGTATTAAATAATGCCACCAGTATAGAATAATGCCACCAGTATAAAATAATGCCACCAGTATAAAATAATGCCACCAGTATAGAATAATGCCACCAGTATAGAATAATGCCACCAGTATAGAATAATGCCACCAGTATAGAATAATGCCACCAGTATAGAATAATGCCACCAGTATAGAATAATGCCACCAGTACAGAATAATGCCACCAGTATAAAGAAATGCCCCCAGTATAGAATAATGCCATCAGTATATATAATGCCACCAGTATGAAATAATGCTGCCAGTATAGAATAATGCCACCAGTATTGAATAATGCCACCAGTATTAAATAATGCCACCAATATAGAATAATGCCACCAGTACAGAATAATGCCACCAGTAAAGAATAATGCCACCAGTATAAAATAATGCCACCAGTATAAAATAATGCCACCAGTACAGAATAATGCCACCAGTACAGAATAATGCCACCAGTATAGAATAATGCCACCAGTATAAAATAATGCCACCAGTATAGAATAATGCCACCAGTATAAAATAATGCCACCAGTATAAAATAATGCCACCAGTATAGTATAATGCTTTGAGTATAAAAAATGTCATCAGTATAGAAAAATGCCACCAGTATAAAATTATGCCACCAATATTTAAATAATGCCATCAGTATAAAATAATGCCATCAGTATAAAATAATGCTATCAGTTTAAAATAATGCCACCAGTATAGAATTATGCCAACAGTATTGAATAATGCCACCAGTATATGATAATGCAACCAGTATAAAACAATGCCACCAGTATAAAATAAAGCTATCAGTATAAAATAATGCCACCAGTTTAGTACCATGCCACAAGTATAGAAAAATGTCACCAGTATAGAATTATGCCAACAGTATTGAATAATGCCACCAGTATATAATAATGCCACCAGTATAGAATAATGCCACCAGTATAGAATAATGCCACCAGGATAGAACAATGCCACCAGTATAAAATAATGCTATCAGTATAAAAGAAATGCCACCAGTATAAAATAATGCCACCAGTACAGAATTATGCCACCAGTATAGAACCATGCCACCAGTGGAGAATAATGCCACTAGCATAGAATAATGCCACAAGTATCAAATAATGCCACCAGTATAGAATAATGCCACCAGTATAGAATAATGCCACCAGTATAGAATAATGCCACCAGTATAGAATAATGCCACCAGTATAGAATAATGCCACCAGTATAGAATAATGCCACCAGTATAGAATAATGCCACCAGTATAGAATAATGCCACCAGTATAGAATAATGCCACCCATGCCATCATTATGGAATAATGCCTCCAGTATAGAATAATATCACCAGTATAGAATAATGCCACACATATAGAAAAGTGCCACCAGCGTAGAATAATTCTTCCAGCATAGAATATTGCCACCAGTATAGAAAGATGCCACCAGTATAAAAAAATGCCACCAGTATGGAATAATGCCACAAATATATAATAGTGCTACCTGTATATAATAATGCCACCAGTATAGAACAATGCCACCAGTATAAAATAATGCCACCAGTTCAGAATAATGCCAGCAGTATAGAACAATGCCACCGGTATAGAACCATGCCACAAGTACAAAATAATTCCACAAGTATAAAAAAATGCCACCAGCATAGAACAATGCCACCAGTATAGAATAAAGACACTAGTATAAAATATTGCCACCAGTATGAAATAATGCCACATGTACAGAATAATGCATCAAGTATAAAATAATGCCACCAGCAAAGAACCATGCCACCAGTGGAGAATAAAGCCACTAGTATAGAATAATGCCACAAAAATGAAATAATGCCACCAGTATAGAACCATGCCACCAGTATAGAATAATGCCACAAATATAGAAAAGTGCCACCAGCATAGAATAATGCTTCCAGTATATAATAATGCCACCAATATAGAACAATGCCACCAGTATAAAATAATGCATCCAGTACTGAATAATGCCAGCAGTTTAGTACAATGCCACAAGTACAAAATAATTCCACAAGTATAAAAAAATGCCACCAGCATAGAACAATGCCACCAGTATAGAATAAAGCCACTATAGTATAAAATATTGCCACCAGTATGAAATAATGCCACACATACAGAATAATGCATCGAGTATAAAATAATGCCACCAGCATAGAACAATGCCACCAGTATAGAATAATGCCACTAGTATAAAATATTGCCACCAGTATGAAATAATACCACACGTACAGAACAATGCCACAAGTATAAATAAATGCCACCAGCATAGAACAATGCCACCATTCACTGTATAGAATAACGCCACTAGTATAAAATATTGCCACCAGTATGAAATAATGCCACACGTACAGAATAATGCCACAAGTATAAAATAATGCCACCAGTATAGAATAACACCAGTAGTATAGAATAATGCCACCAATATAAAATAATTCCAACCTTTAATGAAATGCCACCAATATAAAATAATGCAGCCAATATAAAAAATGACACCTGTACAGAATAATGCCACCAGTATAAAAAAATGCCACCAGTATAAAATAATGCCACCAGTATAAAATAATGTCAGCGGTAAGAAGCTTATTTTCCCAAACCAGAATTTTATTTCAATGTGGTTGGTTGTTTAATTTTGAAGTTTCATTCTAAAAATTCTCTAATAATCAAGAAGGTTAGTTCTTAATTTGAAAAAAAGGCATTTTCAAGTTGAATCATACATAATTTAACTGGTTTAAACTAAGTTTTATAATGAAGCAGTATAAAAGATAGTTAAAAATGTTGTACAAATTTGTACCATGAGTATTTCATGTTTAATGGAGCAAAAATCTCAAGTTTGAGTAGCGAGTACAAGGATGTAAGGTAGAAATTTGAGTAGCCCAAACAGGATATACATGTGAGTGTTTGTTGTCAGGCAATCTATAGGTAAATTTAAAATTATAAAATTATTGATTTATCACAATTCAAAGATATGCATCATATGATATTATTTCTTTCATTTAAATTTAAATTATATTTTTATTTTAGTTGCCTTCATTTATTACTCTGTAATTGGGAGCTTCAAAATAAGATTAGAGGGTATAAAGCTATATACATGTATCTAATAAAATATTTTTTGCCTTTTTTGGCCTGCACTATCTAGAAATTGTTCGTTTTACTCACAAAACATTTGTAGTTTTATATTGACTTCTACGAAAACAGATGTCAATAAAATGATTAATTTGGTGTCTTAAGTACAGAAAGAAATCTTATTTTCATTTATTTTGGTACCAAATTATACCGCTTCTTGCGAATTACTATCGCTGCATCTGTGATTTTCACACAATTCAAACATGCTTCCAAAAACCACAGAATGCTGGATAATGCACTTTGTATTGTCATTTGAAGAAAATTTCCGTGCATATGATACTCTAGGTTTTGTTTGGAGTAAAGAAACGTTCGTCACTTTGATTTAACCTAATATTAGGAACTTACTGGTGCTCAGCAGTGGCCATTTTCTCATGGATATTGCTATACTAAGTCCATGATTCCCCCCTGTGATTTTGTGAAACCACAATACCCAGAGTTAGATATTTTGCATGTAATATCACTCTGTTGACCACAAATTGTAACTGGTATTAAAATGGTGGCCCTTGGGTCAATATTGGTCCTGCAATGGGGGTCACTTAGTTCATATAGTTTTTTTCTGATTTTGTAAAAATACAATGCCCTGAGCTGTAGCATTGCCTTTTTGGCCTGCAAAAAAATTATAAATCATGCCCCTTGGGTCAGTATTGGCCCCATCAGTTAGTTGATAAAGTCTTGTATGAGAATCTTATTCTGTGAAACTACAATGCCTAGAGTTTAAATATTTGTCATAAGCATTGCCTTGTTGACCTCTACAAATTTGATATAAATCATGCCCCTTGGGTTAATATTTGCCCAACCCCAGGGTCACACTTAAGTCTTATCGTGTGAAACTACAATACTGGAGCTTAGATTTTTGTCATGTAACATTGTATTTTTTGCCGGCACAAAACTTGTATAAATCATGCCCCTGGGGTCAAAATTTTTCCAACCCGAGGGTCACATATTTTATGCAGATTTCTAAGAAAATTTATTTGAGTCTTATCATGTGTAACTACAATTCTTAGATATTTGACGTTTAGCATTTCCTCATGGGCCACCACAAAACTGGTATTAATCTATGATCATGCCCTGCTGAGGTCAAAAACTGAAAAACATAAAGTTTATATTTCTTACATAGATCAGCTTGGGCACTTTAACAGGAAGATATGCAAAAGATAATTAAGTTTAAACATATTTATTCTCAGAATATTTACATAATAACATTTGAAATATATACACATACAAAATTTGACAATATTCAAAGAAGAGGATTAGAAGGAAAGACTAGGTCTTAAAGAATTCTTCTCCTTGATGAGATAAGATAAGATAATTATGAAACATATTTAGAAATAAATTGAAAATCATATTGATTTGCTATTCTTTGCCAAATTTGAGAATTTTTTACAATTTGAATAATTATTCTGGAAAAACAAGGTGAGTGAATGATTTGAAATTTTACACACAAGTTATTGGTCTAGACCTATATAAAACAGACTATGAATCTTGGGAAAATATTTCCAGTCTCGTCATGTCAAAACACCTCAGTGGAGTCCCTTTAATATCAACAGTGGAGTCCCTTTAATATCAACGGACAATACTCTAGGAAAATACATAGTCACTTATCGATATGTTGTAAACAAAAAACACAATGGTTTTGTTTGTGATTTATAATACTGTTTGTTAGTAAATGACCTAACCATGAATAGGCTACATTTTTTCATTGCTATAGAATGGAATGATCCATTGAAAAAAGATATAATTAACTATAAGTTCTAGGATTTTGTTTATTCATTATTTACATGTATATTAGATTTACAATAGCTACGTCGTCTTACCTGATGATATGAATATCTTTTTCAAACCATTAGGCGGCTGGTGTTGATTGTATTTACCCATGAGACAAGTGCAGACCGAGATCAGCTGTCTCATCTTTGTCATCTTATCCTGGTCTGCACTGTTCAATAAGTACATTTTGAAATTGTCCCTAAAAATGGTGAATAGTTTTGTCCAGATTGAAAGATGGACAAGTCCATTAAGATATTTATGGTGGAAAGGGTTAATTAAATGATGAAACTCAATCTGCACTCTGCTGTTAATGAGTGTCATGATATCAAGGTGAAGCTAATTATAGAAGACTGTTGTAGAATTGCTCTTGATCATTGATCGTTTTATGTAACTTAATTTTAACATTTCTGCTTAAGGCGCATCAATATTTTCTTTGCAAGAGCTTTAAGGCAGTCTGTTATTTGGTTTTTTTTTAACAGATTTAGAAATTCTGTGGCAGTACTTTAACAGCTGAAGAAATGTCAGACTCCAAGGAGAAATTACGACTGGTTACCTATTTGTCACCAGGGATTCCAGTAGAGATATTTGAGACATTAATGAACTACCTGGAAGAGGTAACAGGGAGAGATGCATATCTGAGGTACGAGTCAAGATGGCCGGGACCTCCTGCAGACAGGACCGATCCTTTCACGGATAACGAGGTTGATATTGGTAAGATTAATTGCTATCTTGTTTTTCTCAAGGAGGGCCCCTTCGGCAGAGAGTTTAGCCCATCACCTCTAACTGCTTGTTTGTTTTTATGCCCCCGAAGGGTGGCATATTAAAATCAAACTGTCTGTCTGTCAGTCAGTCCATCCAGCTTTATACATATAGACAGTGGTGGTCGTGTCCGCTCTGAAACCTCAGTGTGCATGAAAGGATTTTAATTTTTCTTTCATATATGAAATTTTGCACTTAATTAATTTAATTGTATGCTAAATTTATTTCTAATAAGAATAAATTAAAACTTAAATGAATAAAAATTTTAACATATATTTCAATATATTGAATTAAATTAGTTAGGCATTTATCATATAATTAAGTTCTGAATAATACATCAGAAGGTATAAATTTCGATGTCACATTTTAGAATTGTAAATATATTGATGTAGTCTTTTAGGTATTTCTTGAAAAATCATTGAAAAAGTTAACTATCCTATTTTGATTGAATTATATGTAGACATGGTACCATATTGCATAACAAAAAATGCCCATGTTTAATGTAAATCTTACTGCAATATGGGCGTAAGTATACTTACACCCTTATTGCATAATTATAATCTTATCTATCAAATTATATGTAAAGTTATGCAACAAAGGCATAAATAATAAAATGGCAAATAAAGTGTTTTTTGCATAATTCATTTTGATGTTGTTATAAGTTATATTTAGAATGTATACTTTCATGTAACAAAACAAAGTAATGTAATGGGAATATACAGAAACAAGAAAATGAGTTAGTTTTTTTACTCTACTGTAAAATTTTCAAAAATGTAGTTATGCCCTTGTAATCATAAATTCTGCCCTCTGTGATGTTGCAAAAATAATGGCGGCAATATCACAGATAATAGAGCTTTTTAGCACCAAAAAGTGAATGGTTTTCAACTCACTTTTCTGCTCTTAATTGTTTTACCATAAAGCACTGAAAAAAGTCAAGCATTCTGTCCTCTGAAAGCTCTTGTTTTTTCAAGTGTTTTTTTTCTTTTATTTACGCTAGAAATGTGATCATATTAAAATAAGCATACAAATAAAAATGACATTAAGAACTACAACTATAATAACTATATAATGACCATTGATAGATATGTCCTTGATTGTACATATCAGAATATAAAACACAAATTTATAAAATGTTCATCAGGTGAATCATCCATGGAAATAAAAGAAAACAGAAAAATATTATGTTTGTTTTGCTGTTCATAATATAAAACCATAATCTAGAATTAACAAAAAATGCAAATATGATCACAATTTAATATGCACCCAACACTGAATGTTATCATTAATGCCATTTAAATTGAATTAAATAATCAAATAACATATGCCAAGGTATTTCCTGGTAAACAAACAACATCTTTGAAAACATGCACTAATACAACTGTCAACATATTGTACAAAATGAGTATGAGTACTGTAACCAATATTTTGTTTAATTATAACGTATCTTCATTGACATATTATTCAGTAAGCTTACAGAGAAACCAAATTTCATACTAAAATACTTTTTACACTTGTTTTTAACATGTTATGTCATGGGAGAAAAGCATTCCTTTTTACACAATGCCCTGTCGCATGTAAATCCCTGACTGACAATCCCTGAATGTACAACAGTCAGTCAGTGGCATATGCTTTTTGCTTTGGCCCTAAATAAAAAAGAAAGCAAACGAGGTGAGAAATATGGTCAGGAAATATATTTTTCATTAGTCAAAAGGAATGCTAATTTTTTCTAGACTTTATGTTTTTTTAGGCTTTATGGAGAGCAGTGACTACCTCCGACTGATTGAGCATGGCAACAAATTTATAGAAGTTTGTGGTGCTGGAGCAGTCCACGTTCATCCTAAAAATTCAGGAAGAGCTGTGTACTACAGTGACATTATCATCAACGCTAGAAACAAGTAAGTGAGGCCATTAAATTATAATACAGTATAACATGTGCATAGCAACACCCTTTGGAGAGACAAAGATTTTGGTTGTGAAATTCTTGCTAAAGAGTGTCATTGTCTATTCTAGGATTTGAAAATGGGGGATTTTTATTATTACATTTGTTGATCTTTTTCCTTCTTTCTTTATGTAAAATTTCCTCCCTGCCTCTGATTAAATTGGGGGGGGGGGGGGGATATCTCAAACACCCAATCCCCCCTCCTAGAATAGACACTGGAGAGGTTTACTTTATTGTGAAAGTCTTATATATGTGAAAGGTTTGTTACAGTTGGTTGTTTTAAAGAGGTTACAGCTGAACAGAGGGTTGCTTGGTAGAGAGGTTTCACTTCTCAAAGAGAAATGTGTTGTTTATTTGTAACATTTGTGATATTTGCTAGAAACAATGGTGACAAAACATCCTTGTTTAATCTTTAAATATGATTCTGAAAATAGTAAAATATTTTTATAGTATATATTCTTTCATAGAATCCTAATGATGGTTCTTCCTCAAGTTTATTCACCAAAATCTCAGATATTATCTTAGCAGCCCTTAATAATACATGTGTATAATTTAATTCTATGTGTAGGAATACCAATTATAAATCATAAGGATACTTGAGGTAAACACACACCTTATATTTTGAAAGGATGGCAGCGATCTGGCACTTTGTAAAAATCTGAAATTTTTGCAATTATCTGTTTGTCCTACATCTTATGATGTCATCATTTGAAGATTGTAGTAGCATAATTAGGTCTCTCTACCCTAATTAAAAGATTAATTTTGTTTATTCAAACAAATAAACATTAGGGCATATAAAATGCCCCGCATTTGGGGTGCTCTTGCTTTGACATTGTAGTCCCATGATTCTGCCATTCGTTGCAGGATCTTTCTAAATGTTAGAATGAACCTCACCATTTAGATATTACCTTAATATTCATATTCTCTAAACTTACCTTCTGCTGCAGGTTAAAGTATAAAGAGTTACATGATCTGAGAGGTCATACGTTCGGCTATAGTTCCGGCAAGTCTATATCTGCTAGTATCTGTATGTTGGAACAGCTGAAGAAACTTGGCTTTAATGCTTCCTTCTTTGGAAATCTTTATGAGTCAGGTGAGAATAGTTTTATATTACTGAGATAAGTTTAAAATTTATTCCGTGTAAAGTTTTGTTGATTATCATATAAGCTGTCATCGATATAGAGGATATCGAAGTATTGTTGATATTTTTTTCGAAATTTTTTTGAAAAAATTGATAATTTTTATTCATTATTTTAATGTCTATGAATTATGAAAATTCACTGAAAATATATACAAACAGAACATATATTTTACTAAAATCATTTAAACAGGAACGAAAGTGAATTATATAGGAGTATATATGGATATATCAGTGTATTGCTGATATTTGTCATCACCGCCTCCGTGGTCGAGTGGTTAGAGTCGATGACTTCTAATCCAGTTACCTTTCTGGCGTGGGTTCGATCCCCGGAAGATGCTTTGGTAGTTTAGCGCAGAGGAAGGTAGTCTAGTACTGGTGTAACTCTCCAAGAATGATGGTTAGGAAACTACCCGCCTATATGACTGAAATACTGTTGGGAAAAGGGGTAAAATGAAACAAACAAACAAGCTGATATTTGTCATCCGATAAAAATGTATCATCAGTATGCTTTGCAATGGATCAATGACAGCTCTATTATATACTATAGACCTTATGAAGTTTTGTTAAATATTGTGCTAAATTTGTGTTATAAGACCATGAGTCATGTGCTTCAAATTGATGCCAAATTGGCTTATTTTAAACAACCAACAAGTATGGGGTCTGGTCAGACAACAGTTATTTGTAAGCTGACCTAATTTATCCTGGTATCTGAATAGCAAATCATTGTCACAGCTTGTATAAGGGAAATGAAATCAAAGATTTCCCACTTTTTAAGATGAATATCTCCTATATCAATCTGTCAGCCACAGTCATGCTCTTTGGTCATTTTTTTTCCAGCTTACAAATCTGAGTTCTTTGGCCAGTCAGTGCAAAGCATTTTGATGTTATATCAATATTGGATGACAAATATTAATGATAATTGATATACTTTAACACCGAATTAACAATAGTAACATAACTGAATTAAAACCAATGCCAAAAACTAATATTTATCAGTATGTATGCAATGTTTTTATCTGATTTACAGGATCTCATCTGGCTTCTATAAAAAATGTGTTGGACAGCCAAGTGGATGTCGCAGCTGTTGATTCGAACGTTCTTGCTGGTTTCCTGCGTGCACACCCTTATTATAAAGATGATCTATGTGTCATTACCTCACTTGGACCATTGCCAACATATCCCATAGTACTAAATACTAGATTGTCAGGTATTTGTGTTTATAATATAGAGATTTTACATTTAACTCTTCTGCTGTATTTTACATTGAAAACGTGGTAAATGTGATGAACAAAATAAGAGTAGCAGAAATTTGAAAACAAACAAGATGGCCAATAATTCGTAATAATTTTAAAAAGGTTGACCTTTAAACCCTCAGGTAACATCATTTGAATAAAGCACTGTTAAAGCTGCAGGCCTCCAAATGAGTCAAAATATTTCAATAAAATCAAACTTGAGAAATATGTACTAAGATTTTAGGAAATGTAAAATGATTCAAGATTCAAGTAATATTTTACATGTTATGTGCGGTTAATGACTGATTTTTCAGTATTTACAACTATATTTCTACTGCGTTACTAACGCAGTAAGGGCTATTTATGCATATTTTGACCACTTTTTGGTAATTTACGTGGGTTGTAAGTGCCATTGATAATGTGTAAATTGCTTCCTTTTGGTTATTTCACAATATTATACATTCAAATACATTTTCAAAATTTTCATGAAAATTAGCGTGAATCTGGAGGCGTGCTGCTTTAAATAAAAGTGATAAGCTTTTACCACCAGTACAGTGTAACACAGCTCCCATAATAGTGTTAGTAGATCAAATTTTGTTGAATGAATTGTCTGGTATTCAAAACTATCCAAATCCATAACGAAAAAGTCTGCAGATTGATTGTTAATGGATTTTGGTATTAAAAAGATACTAGGAAGCAAACAGTCTGATTAAAATGCACAGATGTCTGGCATTGAGAGTGAGAGCTAAGCATAATTATATGATAGGTTCTTCTTGTGTAATTCAGAAAGTGCTTGTTTTATAGGCATACTTCCTGCAAAGTTGTAAAGGTGTTCATAATCAAATATTAAAATTTTGCTTACAAAAAACTGCTTTACACAAATTGTATTTGTTTTGTGACAAGGGAAGTAATCAAAATACATTGTTGGGGATTATCAAATTACACACAAACTTCAGGGGTGGAAATTTAGTTATACATAATCATTTTTACTCTATATTCATTGATATGAGATTGCATCATCTTTTGTTCAATTTAGAGTTTTCGGGTGAAATTATTATTTAGAGTATTTTTATGGTTCTAACCTATCCTTCTCAGCTTCTAAACGTTCCTTCTCAGCTTCTAACCTACTATGTCTTTCTTCACGCTCCCTTGCTTGCTCCTCTTTAACAAAGTTTCTCAAAGCCTCATCTGTATACCCTAACTCCTGACCTACCTTCATCAACTCATTTACACTAGTCATCTTGAACTTATTATGTATATTTCCTACACTGTAACACTACTACAACAACAACTTAGGATACAAGTAAAATCTTACCGTGAGGTAGAACAATGATATCAAAGTATCATTAAAGGGTAACACTACAACCCTTAAACACAAAACGCTATATTCACTAATCACGGTGCACTATAACACTACACTTCAGTGTAACACCATATAATTAAACGCATTTATCACTCTAGCGCTATAATCAAAATGTACCTTCACTGTACACAGTACTAAAATAAACAATGTATCATATATTCTAAACACTATACCTCACCACTACAAACACTAAGTTTCAAACTCATCTAAGTATCTCACTAAGGTTGTATAATAATAATCTTAAGTGTACAGTAGACAGTAGGCAATAATTAAAACTGTTCAAAATACTTTAAACTTCAAAGTCCAAACTACGACCCAAAACTCAATGTCGCGTAGCACTTACCCCACAGTGCAAAAATATAAAAGGTATATGGCCAGTTTCAATATACTACAGACACAAAGTAAACACAAAGTAAAATTGTAAATGACACAATAAATTAAATGTTCACCTAGATAACAGACACAGTTTCTTTATCTAGAAAAAGTACACAAGGCGGGTAGTACCTTAAATTGCAGAGTGTATGTGTGTAAATTACAAACAGAAAAATATATACAAATTTATTTACAGAAATGAATATTTATAAATGAAAATGATTGTATATGATAAACTACTATGATAAGTCACTGCACAAACAAACACTCAACGTACAAAATCTGTTTGCATTTTTATTTCACTCATGAAATAATTATTTTCATACCACTCGATGAAAATAAACCCTGTATTCATACAAGAAACATGAAATAATTATCCTCTATTTATTTTATTCTAGGGGAAGTTATCATTTTACACAATTTTATATTATTAATGCTGCAAGGTAGATAACCAAGTGATCAAGTCACAAAAAATGTATTTATTTTGTTATAGGAGAGGTAAGATCTCAGATAACCAAAGCTCTCCTAGACATGAACAAATCAACCAAGTGGACCTCACAGCTACAAAGACAAGGTATATCAGGCTTTGTGTCTATAGATTCCTCGCTGTACGATTTGGAGAAAGATCTCGTATCAGCCATCGGCAAGCTGTCAATGTCATCAACATATTATTAAGATATCTATTATTTACTGTATTGTTATGTATTCCATGCCACTGTTGAGTGTTCGTCACAATGCGTTTGTACCGGATATTTTTCCTTATAATATAAAAGGGTTTAGCTATAATTAATCAATTATTTTACAAAATTTTAAAACATAGAATTGATGTTGTTTATGAAATATTGTGGTTGATCTCATAGAATGTCCATGCTTTTTAGCTCACCTGTCACAAAGTGACAGGGTGAGCTTTTGTGATCGCTTTTCGTCCGGCGTCCGTCCGTCCGGCGTCCATCCGTCCGGCGTCCGTCCGTTAACTTTTACTTTAAATGACATCTCCTCATAAACCACTAAGCCAATTTCATCCAAACTTCACAGGAATGTTCCTTTGGTTGTCACCTTTAAAAATTGTTCAAAGAATTTAATTCCATGCAGAACTCTGGTTGCCATGGCAACCAAAAGAAAAAACTTTAAATATCTTCTTTTAAAAAACCCAAAGAGCTAGAGCTTAGATATTTGGCATGAAACATATTCTAGTGAGTGTCTACCAAGTTTGTTCAAATAAAAGCCCTGGGGTCAAAATTGGCCCCGCCCCAGGGGGTCATTGATTTTCCCTATATGCATATAGTAAAAACTTAAAAAATCTTCTTTTAAAGAACCCATAGAGCTAGAGCTAAGATATTTAGCATGAAACATCTTCTAATGGGTGTCTACCAAGTTTGTTCAAATAAAAGCCCTTGGGTCAAAATTGGCCCCGCCCCAGGGGGTCATTGATTTTCCCTATATGCATATAGTAAAAACTTAAAAAATCTTCTTTTAAAGAACCCAAAGAGCTAGAACTAAGATATTTAGCATGAAACATGTTCTAATGGGTGTCTACAAAGTTTGTTCAAATAAAAGCCCTGGGGTCAAAATTGGCCCCGCCCCGAGGGTCATTGATTTTCCTTTTATGTGTATAGCAAAAACTTAAAAAATCTTCTTTGAAAAAACCCATATAGCTAGAGTTTAGATATTAATCATGAAACATCTTCTAGTGAGTGTCTACAAAGTTTGTTCATTGTTTTTAACTATATGTGTATAGTAAAAACTTAAAAAATCTTCTTTTAAAAAACCCAATGAGCTAGAGGTTAAATTTTAAGCAGGAAACATCTTTTTGTTGGTGTCTACCAAGTTTGTCCAAATAAAAGCCCTTGGGTTTAAATTGGCCCTGCCAAAGGGGGGGGGTGGAGGTCATTGTTTTTCATTATATGTGTGTAGTAAAAACTTAACATCATGAAACATCTTCTAATGGGTGTCTTCCAAGTTTGCTCAAATAAAAGCCCTGGGGTTTAAACTGGCCTCGCTCCGGGGGCCTATATACAGGTGAGGGCCATCATGGCCCTCTTGTTAACTGTTGTATTTGAACAGAATAATATGTTACAGAACAAAATATTATGCTGCGATTTTAAGTATGATTCTTACCATTTAGCAATGATTTCTTGCATGCCTCATTTGATCTTACCAACACATTTCTTTCATATGGGCATTTTGAAATGATTCTTTGTCCAAAATTCAAAAACACATTTTGCAATCTACAGGCAGCAGAATGAGAGATGTAGCTTTATAAACATTAAAAGGTCTCCATGGCAACTGAGAAAGGTGTCTGACTACAAATAACTTGCCTCTCATTTCTGTGGGAACACATCCTGCCAGGGATTTTAGATTCTTTCATGTGAGAACTTTATCTTGCTAACTTATGGCAGAATGGTTGTTCTTCTCCTGTCTTGATTTATGCCTGAAAAAAATGCACAGACGGACACATGAAGTCTTACTCCATGGATCGTCAGTAAACTTTGAAAGTCATCTGATGATCTTTACAGTGTCATTATGAGTTTTCAACCAAAATTCACATGAAATATGTGCTATATATTTTTTTAAGTGAACTGTTACACTATAATGAAGTTTTGAAAGCTGCATTATGAGTATATAACCTTAACATTGTTCTGTGTCACTTGTTACTTGACCCTAACAAAATTATCATATAGAATTACAATTGTGTTGTGTTGAACCCTCAACTTTTCTGTTATAATCAAGTGTTCCCTTTTGTTGTACAGTGATTTCGAATATTATTTTAAATACATGTATAGCTATAGAAGGTAGTGTTTATAGAAATACTGGTAGGGGTATTACTTGTTGAATGAACTAGTGAGTTTAACTACGAATTCAACCTTAATAGAAAAAAAAAATGTTGTGAGAAGTTAAAATAGTAAAGATGACATGTGTTAAAGTGACATTTATGCTCATTTATTCTCAGTCTAGTTGAGTTGACTTGGTCATATATTTCTAAAGATTGGCTATCATAATGATGATTGGCCAATAATTAATAGTAGAAAATGTGTTTGAAACAATATGAAAACTACCAAAATTATGAAAAGACTGCCCCACTCTATGAATTGAGCATTACTGTACTGATACATTCTGCATGATTTTTATAGAAAATTCTGTTGGTCAGGTTGATCATTTTTCATAGTAAAATATAAAATTGAACACAAGTTTGGAAAATGTCAGGTTATTGTTATTTTTACCTGTTCGCTGACCATTTACACTTGGATGGGCATAATGTCAATTTAAAGATACAGTTGTATATCAATTAAATTATTTTCTGAATACTTACCCATCATTTAGCATTCAGTTGGAAATTTGTATTACTAACACCAAAGTTAAAATTTAGAAGTTAATGATCATGTTATTAAATAGGAAATCTCTTGATTGATTAAGAATAGGTATGGAATAATGAAATGTTTATTTTTATATCCGATATTAACATCATATTAATATTCAGTATATATACATGTATGTGCTAATCAGAAATCATAAAATTATTAAAAAGTCCATTTCTTTTTCATAAACTTTGCTATGACTTTTTGGTCCTCATGAATAAAACAAAAATAGGAGATTAAATGGTGATTATGCGGGTTGAGTTATTTTCTTGTGCGAAATGTTGACATGCCCTATTGTATCATAAAATAATTATGAAATTGTGACTTATATATGTTTTATTTCTTATGATAATTGCATCTCTCTTAATATGTATTGTTTTAATGAAGTAGAATATGATAAGTTGATAACTTAATTACATGTTTGTGAAATAGAATTTTTATTAAGCATATCATTTAAATATCACCTCTAAAAGTGTCTGTGGGATATAAATCTTTTTAGAATAACTTTAACTTTCTTGTTTAATTGTAATCATACTTGTAGGGAAAAAAACTTGTAGGATTATACAGGGTTAATTGGGTTGTTTTTTTTTAATGTTTAAAACAATCAGATGATGTGTTTGATTTTTATAAGTGACACATTGCTGTGTATGTTTTATGAAATAATTGATACCTTCAAGGGATTTTGATCAAAATTACAATGATTTTACAGGACTGGTCCAAATAGAGGGAATAGTGATTTGAGTAATAGAGATATTGCATTATTCCATGATAAATAACTGGCTCATTTATATGTAAGGTGTAACCATTATGCAGGACATTGGTTTCAGGATCAACTTGTAACTTATATATTTATAGTTAAATATTATAATACTGCACGTTTGTAACGTCATTTTTCATTGGATAATCGTGACGTTTATATAGTTTTATATACACGGCTTATGTCGATTCATGAAGAAATCTTACTTTTTTCTCTAAAAAATGATGCTTGCTGTATTATAAATTCGTTATAAAGATTGTTGACAGGTTATATGGCCGTATATAAATGGCTGTTTGCAATATAACCCTCGCCTAACGGCTCGGGTTATATTTACAAATAGCCGTTTATATAGGGCCATATAACCTGTCAACGATCTTTATAACTAATAATGTTACTGTTGGACCATAGCCTCCCTGACAATACTTACTCTAAAATACATTTATACTACAACAAAAAATGTATTTTATTTTATACACAATAAGTACAGGGTTATGTAGTCACATAAGTATACATATACAATAATGTAATTTTGTTGCAAAGTTGTTACCAATGACTAGTTTTGTATTGTGAATATCTGTTTTACAAAAATTTTTTTTTTTAATTGTTTTTTATAATTATAATAAGAACAATAGATACTCATGTTTTTTATCTGTATAATTAAATTGTATATGATATGAGCAGGTAATTGCAGGTGAGAAAAACTTAATCATTTGTTTATAATGCAGATTGAATTACCGGTAACCAGATTCTGTCATCCGAATTTATTAATTACTGATAAAGTACAATATATATACACAACAAACAAGATCTGGTAAATCAACAAAATATCCTTTTCTTTTTTTCTTTTTTGTTATTTTTAGGGGTAAAAAGATGAGTTTTTGATATATGTATTGATGAACTTCATATAGTAGAATAAGATGGGCATTTATTTTATGAAAAAGATATTAGGTCAATACACATGTACTTTTCTTACTGTTTTGTAATGTTTTTTGTTTTGTTTTATTTTTCGGCAACTCCTATTTATAGTAACACAATTTTTTAACCCTTAACCTGACCCTTAACCTGTGGATGCCATAAGTGAATACCCTTTACTGTTAGTACAGAGCTAGGCCAGTATACAGCTAGGCCATTATAGAATTAGGCCAGTATAGAGCTAGACCAGTATAGAGCTAGGCCATTATAGAATTAGGCCAGTATAGAGCTAGACCAGTATAGAGCTAGGCCATTATAGAATTAGGCCAGTATAGAGCTAGGTCAGTATAGAGCTAGGCCATTATAGAGCTAGGTCATTATAGAGCTAGGCCATTATAGAGCTAGGTCATTATAGAGCTAGGTCATTATAGAGCTAGGCCATTATAGAGCTAGGTCAGTATAGAGCTAGGCCATTATAGAGCTAGGTCATTATAGAGCTAGGTCAGTATAGAGCTAGGCCATTATAGAGCTAGGTCATTATAGAGCTAGGCCATTATAGAGCTAGGACAGTATAGAGCTAGGCCATTATATAGCTAGGCCAGTATAGAGCTAGGCCAGTATATAGCTAGGCCATTATAGAGCTAATCTTATAGTCTGAACAGGCCACATGTAACTCTTTTTTGTGTTTGCATTTTGAAATTGATTAAAGTGCTTCAAATATTGAATAGACTATAGGATCTAGGTTAGGTTGAGGTTTAATTTGTTGACACATACATTTGTAATCAAAATTTATTAGGTTTTGTCACTTATTGTGTTTTTTGTGTACTTAGTGTGAATGTTTTTGTTTTCTATGTGTTTGTATTTTTTTCTCTTCTTTTTTTTCATTTCCTGATTTATTAAAATGTTTTGGGTTTTTTTCTGGATGTTTAACATGAAAAATGTTGTATCTTAAACAAAGTTGTTGGGACTAAAACATTAAAGACACATTATGCCTCAGAAACGAATAAATTTTTCCATCTATAGAAAGGGCAACATAAGGTTTATGATGTTGAAATAATACTTTTAAAGCATGTTAGATGGTTATAAACTGAAACAAAAAGCGCTTAATGTGAAATTATTCATTTTGTCATGAACGTAGCAAAATGTAAACAAAGTAGTATTTTGACTTGCATACAAAATTTTAAATCACTGTCACTGTACTATCAAAAATAAAAAGCTTTTGTGAAATAAAATTAATGCATTTCTGGGGCATAGTGGGCCTTTAACTATTCTTATTAGTGTAGTAACATATTTTTGTGTAGTTAGACGTTATAAGCATAACAAATATCAATGAGAATACATATCCCATTTAAGTACAGCAAAACCTGTTCAAATGACTTCTTGAATAATGCCATTTTACACAATACCTATTAGTGAGATGAATATGATAAAACCCATTGCCAAAAATACACATTAATTGTTTTTACTGTGGTTAAATCATAATTTGCTGGAACCAAAAGGGATAAACCTTTGCCACTAGTAAAGTCTGACCCGGCTCTCTACTGTTGGTAGCTCTTTTTTTTATGCTCCCCGAAAAATTTCGGGGGAGCATATAGTCGGCGCCTTGTCCGTCTGTCCGTCCGTCCGTCTGTCTGTCCGTCCGTTGTCTTGTCCGGAGCATGACTTGAAAACCCTTGGAGATAATTTGTTGAAACTTCATGCAGTGGTAGAGGGCATTGAGGGGGAGTGCAGTGTCAAAGAACCATAACTCTATTTTGCCCAGTTTTTTAATTATCTTTCCTTATAGAAAAATCTTGTCCGGGGCATAACTCTAAAACTATAAGAGATATCAACATGAAACTTTGTAGGTGAATAGATCTCAATGGGTAGATGTGCAGTGCATAAGAACAATAACTCTTTTTGTCCTAATTTTGGAGTTATTGCCCTTTGTTAATTTTAACACTTTAAACTTTGTCCGGAACATAACTCTAAAACTATAAGAGATATCAAGATGAAACATTGTAGGTGAATAGATCTCAATGGGTAGATGTGCAGTGCATAAGAACAATAACTCTTTTTGTCCTAATTTTGGAGTTATTGCCCTTTGTTAATTTTAACACTTTGAACTTTGTCCAGAACATAACTCTAAAACTATAAGAGATATCAAGATGAAACATTGTAGGTAGATAGATCTCATTGAGAGGTGCAGTGCAAAAGAACCATAACTCTGTTAAGCCTCATTTTTGAATTATCTTCACTTTTAGAAAAATCTTGTCCAGGACATAGCTGTAAAACTATAAGAGATATCAGCATGAAACTTTGTAGGTAGATATATCTCAATGGGTTGATGTGCAGTGCACAAGAATCATAACTCTGCCTAGCCTAATTCTGGAGTTATTGCCCTTTGTTTATTTTTACTTTTTGAAGTTGTCTGGGACATAACTCTGAAATCATAAGAGATATCATCAAGAAACTTTGTAGGTTGATAAATGACATTGATTTGAAGTGCAGTGCAAAGAACAGTAACTCTGCCTTGCCAAATTTTGGAATTATTGCTCTTTGAACTTTTTCCTGGGACATAACTCTGAAACTACAAGAGGTGTACTTTCCTGTGTCCAAAACCTATTCGGGGAGCATCACCCGGCTCAAACCGGGCTCTTGTTTTGTATTTTGTTATTCAGATCTGTTTAACTTGGAATAAACTATTTCAAATTCATAGCTTGGAAAATTCAACAGGTTAAGGCAATTTACAGGTTGATATTTACTTAAATCAAAACAGACTTACATGTAGTTAACTATGATAAAGTACTATAGTGATAGTACTTATTTACATTTAGGGGCATTATTTTTGTTTTGATATAAAATCATCTTATTAACAGATACTGAATAAAAGCTATAAAAGTGCATGGGAAATAAGGTTCTTGTATGGGAATTAAAATAGCGGAAAATTGTTAACAGTCTATTGCTTAAAATTTTCAAACTGGTACTGTTTTAGATTTATAGACAAATATTTCTTTGACTTAATTAAATTGTCAGACTGGCACTGGTTAAATTATCAGACTGGTTCTGATTGCTTTGATTTTTAAACTGTTACTGCTTTTTTTTTTAGACTGGGCATGCTAAGAATATCAGATTGGTGCATGTTATTTTTATATTGCCCAAAGTATTGCATAAATATCTTATATAAACAGAATATATATATATGTATATTTTTTGTAATGTATGGATTATAAGGTTTATTGTTGCTGTTGATATCATCGTTAATAAAGTATTGTTTGGATATGAATTTTTCTCATAATTTCTTCATTATCAAAGTTTATAAAGTTTATTTGTTTAGTTAAAACATTAATTATTTAAAGCGGTTTGTAATCTTGATGTAGCTTTAATATACCATTTGGTTGGTCTCCTGGAACTTTCCAGTACTTGTGATATACGAGGAAACATGGTTGGACCAAAAAGGGATCAAACCCACAATCCCTGGGTAAAGAGGCAGACACCACTGCCACTGCTCACCTAAACCTTCAGTTCATGCAGATTGTTTTCCAAAAGTCCACAGTGTTACATAAATGTATATGTTTGTTTGATTAAAATGACTTTTTACCTACACATATGGTTCGAGGTGGCAAATTGGCAATATGTTGCTTTAAATAAAAATGACCTCCACACTCTCTACATATTTGTGGTAGAATTTGTTTTACTTATAAGCTATATTCGTAATATACATGTGTAGTTTGATTTTGAGATCAATGTATGAATTTTGCATAACCATACCACATATTGTATCCCTCCCATGTTTTAATGTGAAACAGATAGTATTCTATGACCAAACAACATAAGGAATCCGTTTTTAAATTTTTGAACCCACCTCTTAATGCCTCTGAACGAAAATTGATGAAGCATACTGTATAGCTTTATGTTACTTCTTCCTATAGTTCTCATGTCTTTTCGTCATTTCATCTGTGACACTGGTTAACATTGAGCCTTCATTTATTGACCAATGTCTATAGATATGTTTTCTACATTGATACAGGCCTCTATCTTTTGCTACTCTTTTGCTACTGTTTGAGAATGTTACGGTAAATGGTGCTAAATATAGTCTTTTCTTCTTTTTCTTATACAACACATATGAGCCGTGCCAGAACAAAACCAAGATAGTGCGTTTGCGACCAGCATGGATCCAGATCAGCCTGCGCATCCGGGCAGTCTGATCAGGATCCATGCTGTTCGCTATCAGTTTCTCTACTTGTAATAGGGTTTGTAAGCGAACAGAATGGATCCTGATCAGACTGCGCGGAAGCGCAGGATGGTCTGGATCCATGCTGGTCTTGACGCGGCTCATTTGTTGTTAGAATGGTTAGCAATGCACGGACCAAAATTGACCTTGACCAGGAACTATCAATTCCAGACAAAGTTGCGCACAGACTGTCATGGAAGGATTATATCTGCCTTCATAGTTTATAATATTTATTTCCCCTTGTTATTTAGAGCCCTTATAATCAGGTGAGCATCATTTCCCTCTTGTTTTCAAGTTATAGCCCTTAATATGCAGAGCATTTGTACAGTAACATGTGTAGAATTTACTTTGACATAGAGTGAACTTGAATTAACCAAATGAACTACACATGTAGTACAGAAATTTTAAGCCATGTCCTTTGAGGTTTGAAACTTGTCTGTCAATGGTTATCAATTAGCAATATTAGGGCAACAATGGTTATCTTGTTACAATAGCACTATTTAATATGTGAGGTTTTAATCTACTTGAAGCAACTTCAACAGCATAAAGGTATTTTGTTTTTCGTTTACAAATAATTCATTTACATCTATACAACTATCTACATTATGTAAGAGGAAACAACTTAATCAACAAGCATGGAAAGAAGCATTGATCTACTTCTAGATGGCCGTCTGCAAATTGGTCCGCACGTGCCGGGACAGCATATCCGGTTTCGCCTACAGTCTGCATTTGATGTACAACTTTGACTTGTGTTTGCTCGAAGTAAGCACAAGAGCCGGGATACAGGGGTTACTCTTGGGCAACTATTCGAAACTGAAAAAGTAAAAGAGAGTGAAAGTTGTAACGAATGTTTCATAAGTGAAGTTAAGATTGCTTACATTCAGAAAGGTACATTCATGTGGATTGATAAGTCACATGTTTCAACTAAATGTATGAATTTAACCCTATCAGCGGTTTTGCATGTTCATTCCGATAATATAACTTTTTCCTTCAAGAGAAAATAGATATTCTTAAGCTGTCTTCGACGTTTGTTAGAAACATTAATGGACTGATAATTGCAAGTAGATGAAATTCTTTTATTTTTGTACTTACATTTACATTCACAAGTTTGGCACCCATTAGAATTAACCTTTCTCTCGTACACGCATGTGTTTCTACATTTTACTGTTGGGCACGTATATAGTTCTGTCGTCTGATGCTTTGCCTGACTATCAGTTGACGTCATCTTTGATGTCATTGTAGATGTTATCAAACCAGCAGTGTTCTCGAGTTGTTTTCCCTTTTCGTTTGTCTTAAGTGACGCGATATTTGAAACAACCTGTTTTGGAGTTTCCAGTACGCTGCTAGCCGTTGTTTGTACAGCTTCTTTCGTCTGCTGTGTTGTTTTACTTGGCACTGGAATCTGTTGCATTGTCGTCGGCTTCATTGCTTCTGTGATTTCAGCTATAGATTCTTTAACAAGCGCTCCTTCAATTTGTTTTGGATTGGTTTTACCGGTACCAGAAGCTATCCCACTAACGGTGGCTTGGCTAGAACTTAAACTATCCCTTGTAAGTGTTTCTGCGATGGTATCTTTAATTACTTTTGAATCGCTTTGATCATTTTGCCCTAGAAAAACGTTTTCTGTATCTATACTAAATTGTCTGAGACCGCTCATGTCAATCCCAGATGCCAAAAGTTCTTTCTCTGTTGGAACACATGTGCTATTCTTAACATTACATTTTGGTTTATTTGAATTGGCATCAACTGCAGTTATATTGTTGTTAGTTACTTCTTTAACCTCAAGTTCTAGTGGACCACTTAATCTATGTTGCATCATGCCAGGATTTGATTCTCCTGCAGCTATCAGTTCTTCTCTAGTTGGAACACATGTGTTATTCTTCACATTACATTTAGGTTTATTCAAATTGGCATCAATTGCAGTAATAATACTGTTAGGTACCTCTTTCACCTCAAGTTCTGGTTGTGGAACATTTATTTTATGTTGCATCCTGTCAGGATTTGATTCTCCTGCGGCAATAAGTTCTTCTCTAGTTGGAACACATGTGCTATTCTTCACATTACATTTTGGTTTATTCGAATTGGCATCAACCCTATTAATATTACTGTTAGGTACCTCTTTCACCTCAAGTTCTGGTAGTGGAACATTTATTTTATGTTGCATCATCTCAGGATTTGATACTCCTGCAGCTATCAGTTCTTCTCTAGTTGGAACACATTTGCTATTCTTCACATTACAATTGGTTCTGTCTCTATTTTTATTGTTGCCTGTATCTTTTGAATTTCTTTTGAATGTCCCATCGGTATTACGTTGGTTTAGTTTAACATCTACAGGAGTATTTGTCATTGCTTTTTCTTCTAGGTTTACGGCATTTTTCGTACCGACTATTCCTAAAATGCTTCTGTCATTTGCATTAGCATTATCTTCTGAAAGATTCGAATTGCTGCCTGATTTCACGGTTGTTGTTAGTAACAGAGAATTGGTACTCATTGGTTTTGCTCCAGCTAACGTCATCAATGGAAGTTGAGTTGTGACTGCATCAGTTGTAGAGAGGGACTTTGTACTCGGTTCTTCCTTTGATGGAGACGACGTTTCATTTGCCTGTGTTATTCCTACAGTAGTTGTTGAGAGGGACTTTGTACTTGGTTCTTCCTTTGATGGAAACGACGTCTCATTAGCCTGTGATATTCCTACAGTAAATACAGAAGGTCCTTTTAATTACTCTTGGCAACGACGCCGTATCTCGTTCCCACGACTTAACCATTTCGTGGCCACGACTTAGTAACTCATGGCCACGACTTAGTAACTCGTGGTCACGACATTGTATCTCGTGGCCACGGCTTCATTATCTCGGGAACACGACTTAATAAGTCGTGGCCACGACATGGTATCTCGTGCGCACGAGATAAATAAAAACACACATATGTCACCTTTGTGCCAACGTACAAACTGTGTTTTATAATGTTGTAAAAATGGCCTGGAACACGATAGATGATAGAGAAATGAATTGTCATCAAGATAGGCGAATTTGAAAACGTGTTATTTTTTTCTTTTATTACGTTAACCATATATACTTTGCCAATGCTATAGAAGCAAAAAGTGAGCACTTCTTTTTAAACTATATATAAAAGCACACAAAGAAGCTTTCGAGAAATATATTTGAGTATCATCATGTCAGTATTATAGTTAATATTTATTATGAATATCAGACATCTTTTTCAATAATGAAATTTACGCATTGTCGTGCGGGAGCGCATTAAATATATCTATTACAAAAATTGTAAAAAAGTTCAGTAACGAGGCGGAACTTCTTTTAAGCCTTGTTGTTTTGAGATGATTGTTGATAATAAGCGAAGTGTTCCACACGACTCCTAATATTTACATCATAACACCTAATCTTGTATACATTCAATGTTAGTAATAGATCAGAGAATGAAAGAAAATGTGTGTTCAAAATCCATTTGCGATTTTGATTGAAAAGCCATTTCCGGTTAAAAGCAACGAAAAAGAATATGTTTTTTTAAAGTTTAGAACAATATGCTTTGGAATCAACTTTATATTATTTTACAGACATTAAATTCTTTTTTCTATCAAATCTTGTGACATAAATCGTGCGATCGACAAAATTTTTTAATGTGAAGGGCATTAACGTAAAATACCGAATAAGGACCGTTTCATCCATTATTAAAATTTGTGTATTTGATAACGGAAATTTCATGAAGCTAGTGTGCTGTTTAAAGCTCAGCCTATTTTTCTTGAAAGGTTTAAGTGTTAATGTTGAATGTGCAGTGATGTGCGCACATTATGCCTCAGAAATGAGGTTATTTTCATTTCTCAAAAATTTTCTATGTTACGTATTTTGTTACAGTTTCAAAACAAATACTTATTTGCCATATAGATGAACTGTCTTTACTACTTTTCCTCTGTTGGTAATTGTTATAATTATAGCGACTAAGTATTTTGTATGGATGTCAAAATATATATACTACTTTGTTTATATTTTTCTATATTTACAACACATTATTGCACATTCAGTGCTTCTTTCTCTAGTTGCTTAACATCTTACATGTTTAAAACATTATTAAACACGTGTTTGACATTGCTAAAGAATTTAATAAACATGTATTTCTTAGGCATAATGTGCCTTAAAATTGCTTAAAATATAGAAAATAAAAAAGAAAGTTTAACTTACCAATAATTAGCAAGAAAATGTAGATCTTCATTTTTAACCAAAATCCGACTGAAGTTATGTGCACAGTATCCTTGCATAAAGTGTCGCATACACTAAAACTATTAAGTAATAAAAACAGTTTATCGAAAAAAGGCTTGTCAAGGTAAAAACTTATATAGTAATAATACCCACGCTTATTAATTAATAAACACATATTAATATATACTTAAAGTGGCCAAAATGACATGGTCACTATATGTTGACCCCTGTTATTAATTATCAACAGTATGTGTGCTCTACCTGCAAAAAAACGACAATTAGGACCATGTTTTATGTCATCAGGGTTAGTAGATAGTTGTAAACAAACATTTGAAACAGACATGACAAACGTTGACAATAATGTGAACAAAAAAAATCTTCATTATGGACTGTGTATGATGTTGTATGAGAAGGAGGCCTTTAAAGCAGCATGCCTACATATTCATGCTAATTTTCATAAAAGTTTGAAAATGTAATTAAAAGTAAATTATTGTGAAGGGAACAAAGAAAGTAATTTATACATTGCAAACGGCACATACAAGCCAACTCAACTCAACAAAACCTGATTGTAAATGAAAGTATTTGTTTGTCTGTCTGTCTGTCTGTCTGTCTGTCTGTCTGTCTGTCTGTCTGATATGAACCTAGCAATGAAATGAATTCCCTGTTGTCAGAGTGAACTTAAAATTGTTGGTTTAAGAGTTTGTTAAATAATGGACGTAGCAGTACCTACGTGAATTAGATAATTATTGATACTGGTGATTGCGTGAATTTTACATGTATGGATCATCGTAAGTGTTGGTGAATATGGAACATGGTTCTTCACTGATTTCAAAAAAAAAATGAATGACCTTGGCATAAAGTTAATTGTTGATGAATATAATTATGATTTTATGCGTTGTTTAAGATGATCGATCGTAAATGAAATAGAGGATATTTGTTTAGTTCAGTGTAAGATCGGAATATATTTCACCGAGTGAGCACCAAAAGGTATATTTCACGAGTGGTGCAGCCACGAGTGAAATATGAACTTTTGGTGTTCACAAGGTGAAATATATTTCGATCTTACACTAAACTAAACAAATTTTCTTTTTATTATATGCAAAAAAACGTTTTAAAAAGACATTAAACCTAATACTGAATGAAAAGCGCGCCAAATAATAATACAACGTGACGTCATTTACGACGTCACGTCATTAAGTTGGTACCCAGTTCTGTGCACGCTGGTATTTAACCGAAACAACGTAAGGGGCTTAAATTCAAAACAGTACCACTTTGATAATTTCACTGTTTCAAACAGTGAAATTACCAGTTTTATATCACTGATATATTTCTATAAACCACCGAAAAGCATGTAATAATAGTATTTATTCATTGCGTGTCTTTAATGTACGTTTACAAAAACAATCTGTAGGTGTTATCAACGTGGGACAGTTTTCATTAACAACGGTAAAAATCAATCAAGAAGAAATAAGTGTCCCTCTTTACTAGTTTGCTAATTAACGTTTACGACTTGTTTCGTCGTTTGTTCTTTGAAGTGGATATTGTACATTAAGATTTCATGTAATGTACTGTGGTTTAATATAGAGACATTTTAGGAGTTCATATATAAATGAGCCGCGTCACGACAAAACCAACATAATGGGTTTGCGACCAGCATGGATCCAGACCAGCCTGCGCATCCGCGCAGTCTGATCAGGATCCATGCTGTTCTACTTGTTATATGGTTTGTAAGCGAACAGCATGGATCCTGATCAGACTGCGCGGATGCGCAGGCTGGTCTGGATACATGCTGGTCGCAAACCCACTATATTGGTTTTGTCGTGACGCGGCTCAAATATTAATTTTCCTGTACGTGTACTTGTCCTCCGTTATCACTTGACAGCAAAAACATAAGCGTCTATACAGAGTTGTTGGTTTTGGATTTTTTTTATTGTTGTTGTTTTTATTGTTGTTGTTATTATTCTCCATCAAAACAAGACTACCTATAATCAGTCAATCTATAAAAAAGTTATATATCATAACAGCGATTTATGTTTTCCAGCAAGTTCAAAGTCCACTCTATATGGCAAGAATTTAAAAAGAAAAAACGTAAATTACATATATTCAGCAATAGCAAAATGTTTGAATAGTAAAAAAACATTTGTTAAAAATTCTATGATGATGCCGAAATGAAAACGGCAAATGTGGAATTAGAACGTGAAAATGTTAGCCAGATACAGTATTTAAGATGTATGGAATAATTTTCATGAGGCTTATTTACGAAATTTTGCAAAGCTATAGAGATAGACGTATATAAATCTGTATTATTATATGAAGCGACGGAAGGTTCATTTGCTTACGAATTTTATTTACATAAAAACTTCACGATACCTAAAGATAGCTTAATAAAAACATACGTATTTCAGCACATAGTGTCGTATTCAAACTGGAAGATTCACATATAATCAAAATGATAGATTGTCGTCAATAAACGTTATTGTCAAATTTGTATTTCATATGAAATTGTAGATGAGTACCACCTTCTTTGTTTGTCTACAATGCAACACATTACTACAAAAATATATTAAAAGATTTTACAGGAAAGGACCAAGAATGCTTAATTTTTTGAATCTGTTAAATAGTCAAAATCTCTTAAAAGAACTTATGTTTAGCAAATATACTTTCAAGGCTTTAAAGATGAGAAATAAAAATGTAAAGCTAGATTGTTATTCGTAACGTAATGAATTTTAGAATAATATTACATGTTTGTAGTTTTAAAGTTTTCATTTTTTGTACTACATTGTAATTAGTCCATTTGAAGGTTAGTGCAATTGATGTTTATCACTTTAATAATGAAAACATGAATTATTATAATGTATTTTATACATGTATACATTCATCATGTTCAAACTGTACAGTTAATGTGTAATCAAAAAGTTATGGTTTTTTTTTCATAAATATATGGATTTTACTCTGACACTACAACGTTGTAGTACCTCAAGACGTTTGCAAAAATCATGATCACAAAGTAGTCAAATATCACTTTTTTCACCGAATTCATTTTCGTTTATAAATCGGTTTGAAAAGATGAATTGCTGAATAGTTGTATTAAAGTGCATGTTGGCGGGTGAAAAAGCGATATTTTAGTATTTAATCATTCAAGCGCCTTGTCTGGAAAAAGATATTAATTGTGGTGCACCAACACTTATTTCAGTCTCACTCTAAAAATACAAAATGATAAATAAATGTTTTTCGGCCGTAGGCTGTTTGTTTGTACGTTAACTTCCGGTTATATTATAAACTTTGGACATCCTTTTCCAGGTATTTGCTGGACAGGTAATCAGTTAGCTATGTCAATACTAAAATTTATTATCAGGAAATACAGGTATAATGAATATTAGAATTTAATAAGTGTTCATTTTTAAAGAACATGATAGTTTCAAAGTTTCAAATTTACTGCCAAATTGACAATGAACATTTAAAAAAAAGCTTATATACAGAAAATGGACAAACTAATAAACATCATTACTAGATTTCAAACATAAATATTTATTTATTCATTATGAAGCTGGAAGGAATTGCAAAAACATTTGTAAATGTTTCTACATATAAAAAGAAAGCATGTGTTTTTTTCTGTTGCTGCTTCTCTACCTCTATCTGTTATTCATGGAAACGATGGACGTTACATGGACTTAACTAATTAGGTTTTCTGCGTTAATTTCGTGAAATTGTTATTTTCTGTCTCTTTGACTTGATGATGTATTGCATTACGTTGGGCTCTCGTATAAACTTTCATTCCGAATCTCGCAAAATCATTTTATCACATCTTGACACTGTTACCAAAAATATATTTAATTTAACATTCTATAAGATGTACATAATATTCCACGCCGAACAAACAAATGACATCTTTATATTTGAAAATTTAGACTACAGAACATAAATAAGGCAATCAATGTAAAAAATAATGAATAAACATACGTACGTACGATGTTGATGTGAACTGTTTAGCTTTATCAACAATTGTTTAACTTTTTTGTTCCAGGCTATGTTAAAAACTGTAATGTATTAAACTGTTTTATATTTTAATAGTGAATCAAATTGAAATAATTTAAATAGCGAAAACGGTTGATGACACATGGTACGAGTGTTTAAAAACCTCCTCAAAATATTTCAAGTGAAGCTTTTGTTTTTCAAGATCATTCGTAAGAAGAGCATCCAGACTCTTCCATTGTTTTGATATTCGGTAAACCTTAGACATTTACCAAACTAATTGTTTTATATTACAGAGAACTTTTACGATGTAACGTCGATTTTGTTAATGATGCATCGAAGCAACGCTACTAAAAATCTTTCAGAATCGGCGCTCAGAATTTAAATAGTGGACAATTTTTTATTATGTATTCATAAAATTAATGATAAAACCCATAATGACAGAATTGGCAGTACAGAACAATTCACCTGAGGACAGTTTTATCAACGTTCTTCGACACTTCGTATGCTATTTTTGTCGCAGACATATGTAAGACTTTTTATGAAAGTTTGTCATAGCCTACGACATCGTAGAAAATAAAGGAGATCTGCGACACGACGTTTCTGTGACGTCAGGCTTTTTATCTCTGTTTATATGTATACATGCTCAGCACATAATTGCTATGAAATAAGGTGAATGAAAAAATCAGAGCAGAGTAAATACAATTTTTCTATTGTTATTATTTGTTTTCCTTTGAATTTCAAACTCTATTAAGCGGACCTAGACATGCGCTCTAAGGTAGAATGAAAAAGAGTCTATATATCGTTTACATAAAACGTATGATATTATTCGTTGAATTATTAAGAGAATAGTGAAATTATTAATAATTATTAATTCATTCTGAAATTCTGCGATTAAGACCAGTTTAATGAATTTGCAAAATTTAACATTATTTCCCTATAATTTGACAATTCTATTACTTTAAACATGTTTGATCTCACAAATGTATGTTGATTAACTTACAACTGTCATGTATCATTAAAACATGGTTATTTACAAATAAAGTGGAATCTAAAACAATGAAATTCACGTTTGTTTCTATTTATACATTACCTACTGCATGTATACGCAATAAATGAAACACGGATAATAAATAAAATAATTTGAGGTCAAGTTTGAAATATTTCACGCAGCTATTCGTAATAAATACCATAAACATTTGCAACAGCGATGAGTGTTGCATTTCTGAATGTGTAAGATGCGAAGTTGTCAGAGTTGGCGTTCCATAAAGACCTACTTGACACCTGTATACCTTGTTGCTTGTTTTCTGTTATCAAGACTTCAGAAATGATTTTATATCGCGGAAAGTCCATTTCTTTCACCTTCCGTTTAA